TACTCAGCTGGTCAGATAGCATCTGTGAAGCTTAGAATTCTTTTGGTTTTAGTTTATTAATTCATGGGATGAGGATGCCACTCGCTTTATTTATTATCCATCCCTAATTGCCCAGAGGACAGTTAAGAGTCAATCACATTGCTGTGGGTCTGGAGTCACATGTAGGCCAGACCAATGGTAGATTTCTTCCCCGAAGGACATATATGAACCAGATAGCTTTTACAACAATCAACAGTAGTTACAAGGTCACTGTTAGGCTGGCTTTTTATTTCAGATTTTTATTGAGTTCAGATTTGTCCAGAGATGTGCAGGTTAGGTGGTTTGGCCATGCTATATTGCCCATAGTGTTCAGGGATGTGTAGATTAAGTGAGTTATGGGAGATGGGTCTGGGTGGGATTCTGTGAGAGTTGGTGTGGACTTGTTGGGCTGTTTCCACACTGTACGGAGTCTAGTCTAAGTCATTTCACTACCTGCCATTGAACCCATGTCCCCAGAAAAATAGTCTGGGCTTTGAATTTCTAGTCTATGCCACTACCTCCCTTGATTGTAAGGTAAGAAGGTATTATGCCCAGAAGTATAAAAATAATTGTCATAGGTTTCATTTTTAGTTAAAGTATAATGTAATCATTCCTCAGTATTGTGTTGTGATATTAAATTCATTTTAGTTTCAGGCAATAGATGGGTTAAAGATTAAACAAATGCCATTCCACTAAGCATAAACTTACAAATTGTACAAACAAAGCCCATAGTAAAAGGAGAAGTATTATATTAGAAGAGGCAAGGCACAACTTAATTTTGGAAGGCATGGTGTGAAATGAGTTTTTGAGCCGAAGCAACTTTGACTTCACATTGCAAATCTGTTACCATGGAAACACACCTCTAGCACATGTAAAATACCTCCTGAAGTTATGTTAATCAGTAACATAATTTTAATCAAAATCATGATTGTGGGAGCCAGGGAATAAGTTGTAATATTAAAGGGGCAATTTAAATGCAAGCTGTTATTGTTCATTTGCTACTTAAAATAAAAACTTGCATTTCCATAGAACCTTTTCACATTTCAGAAATACCCTACAGCATTGTGATGGTCACATTTTTGGAGAATACTTGTGTGTTTTGTGAGTCAGAACATATTTTATTTTTGAAAATATGTGATGTAAACTATTTTTCTTGCTAATATTGTTGCAAAAGACAACAGCTGATCCTGTGGGACAGTGTGTTGGAGAAGCAATGCCCTGCACCCTGAAAAGGTGGCTCTGGGTTCAAGTTTCTGTCCTGAGTGTAAACTTTGATTGTGATTATTTTGTTAAACTCAGAGGGCTTAATAGCAACTGAACCACCATGAACATTGGGTGATGTGGAATTTTGAAGACTCCCCATTCTAGACATAGTTGCAGCAAACTGGAGTAAAGTGAGATTATGGAGTAGGTTTTCACTTGCTAACTAAGTGGATTGCTAATAACATTGCCAACTGGATTCTGCTGATTTCAGTGGAAAGGAAAATTGTGCAGTTTCTATAATGATGATCCGTTCTGTTAGAAGAGGTGAAAAATACTCTCTATTTCTATAAAGTTATCTTCCACAAACTTAAATATGCATTCTATAGACAAAAAGATCTACTTTTATTTCCCGAATTGTCAATAAGTTGTGCCATTGTGTTGTAGGATATAACTTTGTTCCAGAAATTTTCCATTGAATGTCAAATTTACTCAACATTGGGTTCAGTATTTGGGTGTGTGCCTCCTTTAAGCTATGGACAGAATTGAAATTAAATTCATACCCTTCGTTAACTAAGTTAATGTGTGACTGGGTTAAACAACTCAGTTGTTTTCAAGGAACATTGGTATGCATGATCAATTTGAACTCGAAAGAACAGAGATTGTAGGGACCATCAAAAAATACGCTGCATTGGAGAAAAATACTCTTCATGTAAGGAGATATGTTTGTTTTTATTTACAGGGCTCATCTTGAGCGCAGGCTTATATTTCTTTCACTTCCTTAATGAAGTCTTCTGGTGACATCAGTTAAAATGATACATTTGGAATATGCCCTTTTCCCTACTGTTTGCCTTGGGCTGATTGCAGGTTGACCTGTTTCATTATTTTCTGACTATCCACCAAGCCTAATAAAATCTCTTTCTAACATATTAAAACATTTTAGCGATCTTCAGAAATGGTCATCTCTTAGGCATTCCTGACAACGTTGCTGATAAAGGCAAAAAATAGTTTACTGACCAATCAACAATATGGCATAATCTTTCAACATAGTGTAGTCAATAAATAACTCGGTATTTGTAAAGTCAGTCTCTCACCCAGCTGACTATCATCAGTACCAGTTTGATTCAATGAGCCTTCATTGCAATTAGAAATAACCCACTTGAAATCTCAAGTCATGTTGTTACCTATTTAGAATAAACCAGCTGTGATCATTCATTGATGTAACACAGTGTGTTTTCTAGTGTTCTTGTGGTGCAGTGTTATTGCCCCACCTCTAAGCTAGAAGACCTGGGTTCAAGTCCCAGAGCTGTGTTGTAACATCTCTGAGGAAGTTGATGAAACTATATAATGTGTTTTTATTTGACATAGCTCAAAGCTATGGTTAGTTGATAGCCTTGAAAATTTCGAGGTGGAGATTTGGCTGTATTTGGGTGAAGGATGCATCCCTGGTATCAGAGTGGAGAGGCTTGAGGTGCCCATGATATTGGAACCACTGGTTAGAAGCGGCCAACCAGTGAAGAGAAACCCTGCCTCGATTCTTGCTGGTACAATGAGGTTTAAATTTTACAGCCTACATCCAGGAAGATAGTCCATTCAGAATCTGAACTGGCCTGGATAGAATAATAAATACAAAATATATCAGGAGGAGAAATGTAGCAACCTCTTCAACAAAACACATCACACAGAATGATGAAATATACTCAGATGAATGATAGAAAATGTGAAATTGTTGGTTGGCATCTGGGGCTGAGGGCTGAGTAAGCCAATCATTCATCTTGTCCTGCAAGGGGAGGCAATGACATAGTGGACTAGTAATCCACAGACTTAGACGATGCCACCTTCCTCAGGGAAGCATTAGAAATGTCCATCATTTTCTCAGTTGAGGATTCCCTGCTGCCATGGTTGATAGGGCCCTCAGCCGTTTGGCCCTCATTCCTTCCCTTCCTTTCCACAACAACGATAGGGACCCCCAGTATTCACTTATCAACCCACCAGCCTCTGCACACAAAGGATGATAAGTTGCCATTTCTGCCATCTCCAGTGGGATGCCATGATCAGACCTTCCCCTCCCCTTACTTGTCAGCCTTCTACAGGGACTGTTCCCCCCAGGACAACTTGGTCAATGCCTCCTCCATTCCCAACATCTCCCCACACTCCCATGGTACCTTTCCATGCAATTGCAGAAGGTGTAATACCTGCCCATTTAGTTTTTGCCCCTCGCTATCCAAAACCTCAGACACACCTTCCAGGTGAAATAGCGATTTATCTGCAATTCATTTAACCTAGCCTAGTGTATTTGCTGTTCACAATGTGGTCTCTTCTACATTGGGAAGATGAAGCACAGACTTGGAGAACACCTACATTCTGTCCACAGAAATGACCCCAAGCGTCCTATTGCCTGCCGCTTCAACATACCTCTGTTTTTCACCTCAACATTTCTGTCTTGGGCCAGCTGGACTACTCCAGCAAGCCTTGAACAATGACATCTCATTTCCACTTGGGGATCTTGCAGCCTCTAGAACTCAAAATCGAGTTCAATAATTTTAGAGCCTGATTCCATCCTTCCATATTTTTTACTCACACCCACGCCTGGCCCTATTATGACATGGGTTGCTTTCAGTACAGCTCACCCATTCTGTCCTGCTCCTGGCTTTTATCATCACTTATTTGGCTTCTCTTCTGCCCTGGCCTGCTATCCCTAATCTCCTTGTTTACCTAGACTTTTTATATGTCTCTCTATCTCTGGGCTCCATTTCCACCTATCTGCTCATGTCCTTCTCCCCCGTCCACCCCCCCCCCCCACTTTGTCTTCAGCATAAATACCACTTTTTCCCAGCTGCTAACTGCTCTGATGAAGAGTCACCAGGCTTGAAAAGTCGATCCTGCTTTCTTCCCACAGATGCTGCCAGACCCGCTGAGTTTCGCCAGCAATTTCTGTTTTTGTTTCACAAAAATCTCCAGATCTGTAGTTCTTTGTTTAATGAGAGTCTTCCAGAAACCTGGGTAATGTTCTGCCCCTCTTGTAGGGGGCATCTTGACAGTGCATCTATGGTGCATGCCTCCTCCTCCCAGGAGACCTTGCTGTGGGCTGGCTGGCCAGGTAATGGGGATGTGCCTGGTCTGGCTGCTCCCACCAGTCCAGTCTTTGAGAGCTACTTTAAAATGCAAAAAAAAAAACACTACACCTTCCCCACCCATCCCAATCTTCAGAAGTGAGGGATTGATCCTCAAAAGGGCCTCTAGGTAGACTCCATCTCTGTTGCTTTCAGCTACCTACTGCTGATATAACTGCAGCAAAGGTATGCCTGTTCATGACAGAGTATTGAGAAGAGGGATCTTGCAGTTTAGGAAGTCTGACCTTTTCTTTAATGGCATTGGCAGGTGCCCATTCCTTCCTCCATTTCCCCCATCTCATCTCCCCACCCATAATGCAGTTAAGTACAAGTCCTGGTACGTCTGAGATTGTCCCAACAATCTTTCAACAGCACGTTGCTGCAATAGCCACACAATAGCAGGACACATTTATTTTTTGCAGTTATCAAGTTCCTTTTGTGCCACTGGGTCAAAATCCTGGAACTCCCTTCCTAGCAGAACTGTGGGTGGTCCCTACCCTTCCTGTGTCCCCCAGTGACAGCAGCGGTTCAAGAGGCATCTGACCAGCACCACCTTCGGTGCAATGAATGGTGACCTCGCCAGGGATGCCCACACCCCAGGAAAGAATTTTAAAAATGTCGAGAAGTAGATTATATTACTTTCATTACTTGTTCTTTAATTTTCAACAGAAAGGGAATATCAAAAGGAGATGACTGTCATCGCTTTGTTGAGAAAACCAGTGATTCGCTTCCAGCTAATTTTACAAAACATGTTCAAGGAGCAATTCAGAGTTACAACAGGTAAAACGTTTCCATGCATTATTGAAGTGATAATTAGGAAGAAACTGTAGTGTTATGAATAATGAATGTACTTGGGAATTACTTTAGTTGTGAGGTGTGAGCAGGTGTTTTGTTGGTGTATTTGCACTGTCTAGGCTCTTATAGATATTACTGTGCTATTGTTCAAAGTAATAAGTCAAAGCCTATGGGAGGGAGGAGGAGGGACAGTTGGGTGGGAATAACTGCTTCTGATTTCCAGTGTCAGGATGGCTGTCTCCATTAGGGTGGGGGTGGGAAGGGTCTGATCCAGGGGCATTCTGCTCACTGGTGGTGGGATGTCAATAGAGTAATTATGGGCTACTCGAAAGCAATTGTACCTGAGACAACTAGTATTTCATTGTTTCATCTGGGACTTGCATGAGGAACCCATAGCTCTCCAATTGCTATCCAGTAAAAACCCACCATCTGCCCTTGTCTTCAAACCCCCTCTGCCCCTCTCAAGCAACCCATTCCCCGCAGTAGTCTTCATCACATGGGAGATCTGATACCGACCGGAAAAGTACCTACTTCTAAATGATACCAAACTCCTGGACAGAAGTGAAATGCTGAGTTGATCACTCAGTTAAAGAACAAGACTGATATGAAAGCCTGAAAATACATTTTGGCTCAGTGGTGGCACTCTAGTTATCAAGATCATATGCTTAAGCCTCAATGCAGAAACTTCACAGAATGTGGGCTGAAATGCCTGAGGATTGAGTGATGCACTGCCAATGTCACTTACCTTTCAGACGAGACTTTGAACTGCAGCGCCATCTTGTCAGAAAACAGCCTGTAGCACTATTTGAAGAAGAGCATGGAAAGTATCTTGATGCTAACACCAAAAGCAGATGATGTGTTAACTTATTTCATTGCTGTGTGTGGGACCTTACTGAGTACAAAATTGATGCTACAGAAGAAGTTGGGAAAAGTCACTACATAATTGGAAGATATTCCTAAGAAAATACAGGGAATGCAGGATTTCTATTTTCATTCTAAAATTACAATGGCTGAGTAAATTCCTATCGTATGATGCAAAGTAACATTTCTTTTCCTTTCAGTAATGTATCCATCGTATCTGAATCACTAAGTGGGCAGACCACACCAACAGACCTTAATCAGTCCTGGTCTGCAATCCAGAGTTATACAACCAGCCTGTCTACAGAGCGCAGTTCAGTATACTCCTGGAGAGATGATGTAAGTATTGCAGGTTGATGGGAATTCTCAGAATTATGACGGGAAGAAAAGACACTGGGATTTTTCTGTGGCGCATAAAGAATGTTAGGGCTTTAGAGAAAGCTGACAAGAATGTTGGGAGTCTGCATGAAAATGTTGCCCCTCAGATCCCTTTTAAATCTTTCCCCTCTCACCTTAATCTTATGCCCTCTAGTTTTGGACTCTGCTACCTTGAGGGAAATGACCTTAATTATTCACCCGATCCATGCCCCTCTTGATTTTATAAACCTTTATAAGGTCACCCCTCAGTTTCTGATGCTACAAAGAAAATAGCCCCAGCCTATTCAGCCTCTCCCTATTGTTCAAACCCTTCAACCCTGGCAACATCCTTATAAATCTTTTCTGAACCCCTTTCATGTTTAACAACATCTGTCCTATCGTGGGGAGACCAGAATTGATTGCAGTATTCCTAAAGTGGCCTAACCAATGTCCCGTACAGCCGCAACATGACCTGCCAACTCCTGTATTCAATGCACTGACCGATAAAGGCAAGAGTACCAAATGCCACCTTCACTAATCTGCCTACCTGGGACTCCACTTACAAGGAACAAAGAAACTGCACTCTGAGGTCCCTTTGTTTGGCAACACTCCCCGGGACCTGAACATTAAGTGTATAAATCCTGCCCTGATTTGCCTTACCAAATTGCAGCTCCTCACATTTATCTAAATTCAACTCCATCTGCCACTCCTCGGCCCATTGGCCCATCTGATCAAGATCCTGTTGTATTCTGAGGTAACCTTCTTTGCTGTCCACTACATCTCCTATTTTGGTGTCATCTGCAAATTTACTAACCATGCCTCCTATGGTCACATCCAGGTCATTTATATGCCTTTCCTCTCTGATGTTGCATTTTCATGGATGAGGCCAACTAAAATCTCAATTGAATCAGTTCAAATAAATTCACTTGGCACTAGCTAATAACTGTTGGCTCGTTCTCATCTTCTTCAATCAAAGACGGTACAAATTACATTCTTAAGAGACATCACTGGCAAGCAATGACTAGTTGTGCTTGGGTTTCAGGAATTTGACAAGGCAAACACACGAACAGTGCATCAGTTGTTCTGGGAAATCGATGAGATGCTATTTGAGGGAAAGGTTAGCAGTCGTACTGAAAGCATTCGAACAGAGTGTCGGGAATGGACAGAACGTTCACCCCAGCTCAGGTCAGTACTTCAGAAATATAAATATGTCACCTACCTCTAGATAGCAATTAACAGCATTATCAACTGAAGCAATACATCAAAAATAGCCATTTATATAGGGAAGATGGGAGAATAAAATAATGGAAGGTACAACCTTAGCCACCCTAGGTGAGCAGTTAACATGCCTTATCAGCTAATTAGCTGTTTTCGGTTGATCCTAATTTCAAAGACACCAATCTGAATCAGACAGAATCCTTCAAATAAGCAGGTTGGAGATCATGGCCATCATTGAGCCCCAATGTAAATTTTAACAGTGCCTGAACAGCTCTGGCTTTCCTGCCAGGTTGAAGCTGCTGAGAAATGAGTCACAATGTGGGCAGCTAATCCAGATGGAAAAGCAGTAAGAATCTAATAACTTTTTGAAATGAAAGTACAGGATGTACTGGAGCTCCAATTTAAATTATGTTGACAACTCAGACCGGAATATGCCATTTGCGTGTTTTACTGGCTGTCTCCCTCTGGGAAGTTATTTTATTGTTCTTTGTGGGGCCAAAATGGATCAGAACTTTCACAAAAGCTTTTAGGTCTCCCTTCCCACCACTACCTGCAAGCCCATAAGTGGGAAAGGAGGCCTAAACATTTTTTGTAGCAGTTCTGATCCATTTTGGCCCCACAAAGATCAGTTAAATAACTGTGGTGGGATGGTGCCTGATATGTTATTCTACTGTTCATTAAAAGCTGGGAACCAATTGTTCTGTGAATATATATACTGGAGTGCTTCATTCACTGTTGCATTGCAGCTATGTGCTGAATAACAATGCATCATTCCACAGCTACATGGGGTTAGCAAGAAAAGGGGCCCTCTTATGGTGCAATGTTAGTGCCCCTGGGCTGGGAGGCACAGGTTCAATCCCACCTGCTCCAGAGGTGTGTAATAATGCATCTGAACAGGTTCGTTAGAAAAATGAATGAAAAAGAAAAGAAACAGGCTCGATGAAGCTTTGAGTCTAAAGTCTGATCATTTTTAATTTATGGAAACCAGAAGTAATCAATTTTCTGCAACTCAGCTGTTGATTTCCTGGGCGGTTATTTTAAGGCCCACCATGTAAAATTCACATATTTTCACTCCCATTGGGGAATTAAAACCTAACTTCTAACAGGGCAATAAAGAAATCTAACATAAAAGCAGAAAATGCTGGGAACACCAAGCAGCTCATTCAATATCGTTAGAGAGAACAGAATTAACTTTAGAGGAATGACTCTTTTATCAGAACAAAACGATCATTTAAATGTGCTGAGATTGAAGAGAACAAAAAGCAGAAAAGCTTTGAAGAATGATCTGTAATGTGTTTAAAAGTGACATGACAAGTAGAAGTTCTGGGATGTACTACCTGAAAGGGCAGTGGAAGAAGATTCAATAATAACTTTCAAAAGAGAACTTGAAGGGAAAATTATGCTAGGTTGCATGGAAGGTCAATACGAGCAAGCTCTTTCAAAGAGCTGTCAGAAACCTGATGAGCGGTATGTTCTCCATCTATGGTGTATCATGCCATGAGTTGATGACCAAGAAGATGATTGCACCAAGGAACTAAAAGAAATATGAGAAACAAGGGATATGTGAATAGTTGAAACAGAGGGTGAATCAGGCTGAAGCTGGAACAGAAGAAATCATGGTGGGGGGCAGGGGTGGGGGAGTGGGTGGTGGTGTTTTGGGAAGTGCAGAAAATAAACAAAACCAGAAAACACTGGCAGTTCCCATAGGTGATGCAGCAGTCAATTACTGAGGAAAGTCTTTACCTCTGAAAAATCACTACACTCTCATTTTGTTGACTCAAACTGCCTGACTTGATATGTGTATCCAATATTCACCTTTACCAGCACCTGCGGTACTTTGCTCAAGAAAAATATGAAATTGGATGTAACCAAGGGTGACAGTTCCTCTGCCAGTATTATGTTCTGACAAATAGCTTTTGGGAACCTGCTCTATAGACCCTTTTATTGTTGTTGCTCAATGATTCCAGTGTTCTCTTTGCTGACCTCCCATCCTGTGCCTCTATATTCTTGGTCTCATCAAAAACGCTACTCTAACTTGCACCAAATCCCTTTCACCAGTCACTTTGGAAGTCAGTGCTATACATTTGGTTCCTTTTGGCAAAGTATCAAAATTGAAATTCCCAACCTTGCTTTCAAACCTCTCCATAGCCTTTCTCATTCTTGTATCTGTAACCTCCTTCAGTCCCAAACCCATTTGCAATCTCATTGCTTCTCCAGTTTTGGTCTCCAGAGTGTCCTCACTCCTAATTGTTGGACCATTAGTAGCAGATGCTCTCGCTACAGGAGTAACTATGACTCTCATGGATGGGTCTCCTGTGGGAGACAGGTCTGACTAGTTAACACAGTGGGCGTTTTGCTGTGACTTTTTCTGCCACAGTGTTAGCTGTGCCTCTTCATTGGCCCCACTGGACACAGCAGTGGCCTTGCCACGGATTGGCCAAACAACATTGTGAGAAAAATCACAAGGCAGTCGTAGATCAGCATGGATCAGGACACTAAGGTGTCAAACTCCAAATAATATGTTGAAATGTACGGTCTGAGTGACCCATACCAGTCCAGATGGGGTGTGATCAGGAAAAACATCCTCCCCACAGGTGTGATAGTGGCAGTGACCTATACAGGATGCAATGCCACAAGCCTCAGCTTCGTTGTCATCAATGCTGAGAAAAGATCTGTTCCACACAGATTGAGGAAATGGGCGAGAGACCCAAGAGACATTTATACATTTTCCATACGGACCTGGGTCTGGAAGTCAGGCCAGTAGGACCAGAAGGACTGGTAGAAGAAGACAAACCCATTATTGAAGAGACCTTTTTGTCATCCCACCCTACAGAAACAAAAACCATCATCAAGTCACAAACCTCCTATAATAGAAGTTATATACAAGGGGGAGATGAGACTGACTCTATGATTAGCAATGATACGATAATATATGCAGAACCCCTCATCATTGAACCAACAAGTAACAGGACTGAAACACAAGAATTTGTGACATATTATCCCATGGAGGAGTTGTTTTGTACATTATGCAATTCCCTCCTCTTGGCAGTGAGTAATTTTCATGCTCACCTGGCAGAGAAACACCAAATTAACAAGTTCCGAACCAAGTGAGGTAAAAGTGGAGAATGCTGCACAATAGCTTGCTGCTACGCAAAGTGTAATTGTGAAAGACCAGTTGATCAGCAGGGAGCCTGTGCATGCTCAAAATGTGAACTTAGATTTACATCAAAAAATGGCTTTGGCCGGCATGAGAGACATGGGCACCTAGAGCTATGGAATGAAAGCACTGGGAACTACTAATTGCCAAGGCTAAACCTGGGAGGGGGAACCTATAAACGGACAGAACAGGAAACAAATCTTCTTCAACTGGAACAACAATTTATGGGATGGTCATTTATCAATAAAAAGATTGTGGGCATCCTTACAACAAAACCCCCAAACAAATGTCTGATAAGAGAAGATTTGCACAGGTTTTTTTTTCCTTTATTCATTAATGGGATGAGGGCATTGCTGGCTAGGCAGCATTTATTGCCCATCTCTAATTGCCTAGAGGGCAGTTAAGAGTCAACCACATTGCTGTGGGTCTGGAGTCACATGTAGGCTGCACCAGGTAAGGATGGCAGTTTCCTTCCCTAAAGGACATTAGTGAAGCAGGTGGGTTTTTCCCAACAATCAACAATGGATTCATGGTCATCATTAGACTCTTAATTCCAGATATTTTATTGAATTCAAATTCCACCATCTGCTGTGGTGGGATTTGAACCCAGGTCCCCAGAATGTTTTCTGGGTCTCTGGATTAATAGTCCAGCGACAATACCACTAGGCCATCGCCTCCCCCCTCATTGCCACCATCACACCTGATCACATCCCATCTGGATGGGTCAACCAACAATGCCAGACATTCCTGATGAGGTTAATCTCAAAGACGATTTAGAGGTTCCTGCACAGAATGATGAATCCCATACGAAGTCCTCCCAACAAACTTAAAAGGACCTCCAACTCCTGGCCTGTACCCCAGACATTGGGATATTTTCAATCAATTGACTCGGCCTGAGGAATGATCAAACAAGAAAGGAAACCAGGATGGCAGGCCGCTTGGATTGGGCCTTATGGGAAGTACGACTGACTGTTTGATTAATGGGAAAGAATCCCTGAAAGGTGACCTCAGGCCCAATGATGGAAGGATAAAGAGGCGCAAGAAGGACAAAAGTAAAAAGAACACTGAAGCACAGAAATGGTGGGCAATCAAAAAATCAAGGTTCAGAAAGGTTCAGTTATTCTCTAAAAGTAACAGAAGCCGGTTGGCACAGCAAATTATGGGAACGCCAATCATAGCTTTATGTCCCCCCTCAGTACGAGAGTTTGTGAGAACTTGCATTACAAAATTATCAGTGTTGAATAATAAGGCTAATCTTAATCAATTTACAAAATGCTCTGGAAAACTGAATGAAGGCCAATTGATTTGATCCATAAAAGAAGAGGAGGTAAATACAGCTATAATGGGAATAAACCCCAAAAGTGCAGCAGGACCTGATGGGATCATGCTGGAGGATATCCAAGACGGTGAGATCTCATGTCTATCAAGGCTGTTCTCTCTACGGTTTAAAAATTAGCACAACTCCGGACTCCTTAAAGAAAAGTTGCATTGTCCTAAATCTGAAAAAGGAAGCTGAGGAATGTCTGAGGGACATTGATAACTGGAGGCCCATTACCATGGGCTCCATATTACTTTACTTGTTTATGAAGATCATGGCAAAAAGGTTCATATTAAATCCACGCAGAAGGGCTTTCTGGCAGTGACCCTAGGATGTAACAAGAAAATCATGGTCCAGGATAATATTATGAAGGGCACCAAATGGAATAAGAAAGGCTCTGCAGTTATTTTTGTTGATCTCATGAAAGGCTTCGACTCGGTTTATCTTAAATTACTCATCAAAGCTCTACAGTGAGTTGGTCTACCAAAGAACTTTATTCAACTTGTCGAGGACTTGTATGTAGATAACACAACTGTAGCGGAAGCCAACTAGTTTAAAACCAATCCAATTGAGATAGAAAAGAGAGTAAAACAAGTGTAATCCCTATCTTGCGATACTGTTTAACATTGCATCAGGTAAGTTATAACACACTCTTGAGGAAGCTAATTTAGGAGGGGCCATGATGGTAAGCAACAAAATTGCTTTGCTTTGGCTTTCCTGGATGATATCACCTTTTTGAGTTACTCGCACTCTGGAATAGAAAGAATTCTTAAAATCACCCAATCATATTGTGACACCACTGATCTGTTAATAAGTATCTCTAAGACTAAAGGTTTCCATTTTACTTATAAAAGGAAAACCTTTTTATGCAATTATGGAAAAAAGGTAACATCATGAAATATACTCCCCAGGAGAAACAGAAAGATACCTAACGGCCCGGGTCAATCCATGGACAGATGTTGTGGATGGGGTTTGGCTATAGAGACTTTAGAATTGGGTTTTCAATTTGAAAGCCACTGCTCTCAAACCAATACAGGAGATCGAACTCCTATGAACGTATATCATTCCCAGGTTGATGTGACTCTTAGTGGAACATTCCAGAATTCATTGTGTGAACTAGTTGTGGTAATTCGTAAAACAACTGAATTGTTTTTAATCTCCCACCACATGGGATTCTTTATGCCAGAAGTAGACACAGGGGTTTGGGGATATTATAAGTTCAAATTCCAGCTGCCATGATCCAAAAACAGGAATTACTGGAGGCATCCATGGATACAGTGATCCTGGCTTCATTCCAGCATTGTGGAAAAGATCATTTGGGTAGAAAGGAAGAACTGCACAAACTTAAGATCTTACAGGAAATTGAGTCATTCTTAGAAAAAAAAAAGAAGTGCCATTCCATACTTGAGATAGACGAGCCCATGAGTCAAGCCAGCCCCAAGCATACAGCCGCAGAAGCAAGGCCACAAACCAGCAATAATGCCTGGAGGGAGTGACAAGTGACAAGAACATAGAGCATAGAACAGTACAGCACAGTACAGGCTCTTCAGCCCACGATGTTGTGCTGACCTATTATCCTACTCGAAGATCAAACTACCCTGCATACCCTACATTTTACTATCATTCATGTGCCTATCCAAGAGTCACTTAAGTGTTTCTAATGTATCTGACTCCACGACCAAAGCCGGCAGCTCATTCCACACGCCCAACACTCTCTGTGTAATGAACCTACCTCTGACATCTCCCCTATACCTTCCTCCAATCACCTTAAAATTATGCCCCCTTGTAATAGTCATTTTCGCCCTGGGGAAAAAGTCTCTGGCTATCCGCTCCATCCATGCCTCTCATCATCTTGTACATCTCTAACAAGTCACCTCTCATCCCTCTTTGATCCAATGAGAAAAACCCTAGCTCCTTCAACCTTTCCTGATAAGACCTTCCCTCCAGTCCAGGCAGCATCCAGGTAAATCCCCTCTGCACCGTCTCTAAAGCTTCCACATCCTTCCTATAATGAGGCGACCAGAACTGAACACAATATTCCAACTGTGGTCTAACCAGGGTTTTATAAAGCTGCAGCATAACCTCGCAGCTCTTAAACTCAATTCCCCTGCCAATGAAAGCCAATACACCATACGCCTTCTTTACAACCCTATCAACTTGGGTGGCAACTTTGAGGGATCTATGGACATGGACCCCAAGATCCCTCTGTTCCTCCACACTGCCAAGAATCCTGCCATTAACCCTGCACAGATCTTAAAAGCTAGGGATCTGGGATTCAATATTATAAAACTGCTGTAATCTCAAATTCCTGATTGAAACATCACTTAATATCAAATCTTCGAGATTAATTAATAGCCTCTAACTTATGTCCAACAAGAACAACCCTATCCAGGATAGGTACCTTACAGGTAGAAAGAGTGTTGCAGATGCCAGGTTCCCTTAGAGAAATTAGCCCATACTTCTGGTAATTGTTCATCTGTGAAGAACACTCAGATAAAAAGACACAATAAGATCGTATCCAAATTGCAAGAGTAGGTCAGCTAGTATGGCTGGACAATCTTCTTGAACCAAGGGTAAAGGATAAGGAAGGTTCGCTTTGGAAACCAGACCTAATTTGTAAAAAGGAACAAGCAGTTGTGGTGATCAATGTCACAGTTTTATTTGAAAATGACAATAAAGTGCTAGAAATGCCTGGGTATAAAAAATGCATAAATACAAATATCTCGCAAAAGAAATTATGGAATTAATTAAAAGATCCAAGACTGCATATTTTGGTTTTGTCATGGGAATGCGTGGCAAGTGGTTCGAGCCATGAAGTACAGCAACATAAATCTTTCACTCAAGATGTATCAAGACTTACCATCTCCTTGACGCTTGAACACTTGCAAATCTTTAGTGTCAGGTAACAGATGGTTTTAGCAATCTGTCCTTTGGTTTGTGGTGATTTGTTTGAGGACTGACTGACTCTGGCACCTGCATGCAGATTTGAATTGGTGGTGGGTGTTGTATTCAAAAAAAAAGCTTTAATCCTGTGGTACTATTTTGTTAATAATTGTGATTAACTTTTATATTACTGTTTAATAAAAATGTGTGTATTTAATGGTGCTGGGTTAGGCACATCAAATGATGTACAGTCCTTATTAACTAACCATAACAGTTCTCAGTTTTATGTCCCAAAAATGGTGACCATCCTCGAAGGTGGATTTTGATCTTTTAGCCCTTCTCAGTTTGACATTTAGTTTAGCCCTCAGTTAACATCAGTGGTTTAATAGCAGAAGTTTACAAAACATCAACAAGGACGTTAACTCTCAGAAAACACACTCCTGTGAGTATTTCAAAATGACCTCTGAGCTTTGGGACACACCCTCTTTCCTCTTTTGAGATGCTCCTTAAAAGCTACCTCTCTGACCAATCCTTTGGTCAAGCTCCTTAGGCTCAGTGTCAAATTATGTTTGGTAATGGCCCGGTGGATAGCAACTTGGGAAATTATACTACATCAGATGCGCAATGCAAATGTAAGTTGTGCTTTTTCCCTTTTTTCCATATTTTCCTTTGTGCAGTTTTTGATCCTAATTAAGCCAGAAATGCTGTTTGATCAATAACAATAGAGTTAATGAGATGCTTTGATTTCTGTCATGCCTTTTGTACATAACGCAGGATTTTGGGAACTCAGCTCTTGCTGCCGAAAGACGAAGGTTTTCAACATTTCCAGAGCAGAGAAAGCAGCTCCATAGCAACTCGGACATTATCTAGTTTCTGTGATAGCACTGGCAATATGAAGGAGTAAGTTCATACAGATTAAACAGGCATGTGGACACTCCGAAAGAATTTTCCACTGTCAACTGATCTCTGGTATAATGTTTGAACGACAATGGTCCTGGTCAATTTCATTTATTAATTAATTGCTGTATCAAATGATACTGTATTGTGTTTTCTGTAATTAAAAGTTTAGGAAATTATACTAAATAATGTAGAAATCACCATATGTAATATAAATGGAAGGATGATTAATGTATTGCTATGACATGCCTTTCTCCACTATTTTTGTACTGGCTTGCTCTGCTTATTTTAAATAGGTTAATGGTCCTGATACATAGCAGGCACAGCATTAATAAACAAGGTGATAACACTCAGCAGGTCAGTCAGCATTTAACACTCAGCAGGTCAGTCAGCACTTGTGGAGTAAACAGATGAGTTAGTTTTTCAGGTGTGTACCTTTTGCCAGAACTAGAGGAATTTGCAGCTGAACCTCATTGAAACAGAAAGATATAGGTGTGTGTGTGTCCATCCATGCTGTATGTGCATGTACACACACAAACATTCCCTCCTGATTCCCTTCATTCTGATTGTTTGTTTGTTTTTTTTATTTGCTGCTAATCTGTGATTTCAAATTTCTGACACATGGTCAACACCCGGGAGTGGCTTGTCTGTTCTGTCTACAGTTACTGACCAACTTGAGAATGTTTCCAGCATTTCCTGTTTTGTAACAGGACAGGGTTTCTTATTTATTGACATGGAGCAGAGTCTTCCATGGGCAGTGTGAGTCTCACCTGGTGGCAGGAGCACTGGCGAGAGACCTGCACTGTCTCTTAAAGAAGGTCTGTTTAGTCTTCTGCAAGCACTCCAGTGACACTTTCTTTGAAATTTGGAAGGGGCAGCCACCAGGAGCTCCTGTCCCATTGGAGGTAAGGGAGGGAGAGTGGGGGGAAAGGTATTTCCAGGGTAGTTATGGGGTTAGAAGCGAAAAGCAGGGGATGCACTTAATGGGAACCCCTCTGCCCAATGTGCCTCTGATCACTAGCCCCCATGCCCTCCCACCAGCTAACAAGCATCCCACACTCTGTTTTACTAATGCCGCATAGCAACAGGCCCACCTACCATTGGGTTGTCACTGTAGCAGTGGCCTGGGTCCCTTAAATGGCCCGTTGATGGTGGCAGGGCAGGAAGATTGACTATAGACCTTTTCATTCAGAACCTGATTCTGGAGGTGGACATGGCAGGAAAGCAGGAATCGTGTATGTGTAGCCACCGCTATCTTCTCAAAGGCAATTAGGGATTGTCCAACATTTTTTTTTAGTTAGAGTCATAGAGTCATAGAGTCGTCCGGCAAGGAGACCGCCCCTTCGGCCCAAACTGGTCCATGCTGATCAAAATGTCCATCCACACTAACCCCATTTCCCTGCACTTGGCCCATATCCTTCTAAACCTTTCCTATCCATGTATTTGTCCAAATGCCTTTTAAATGTTGTTAATGTACCCGCCTCATCCACTTCTGCTAGCAGCTTATTCCATGTGCGTACCACCCTCTGTGTAAAACAGTTGTCCCTCAGGTTCCCATGTATTCTTTCTCCTCTTACCTTAAACTGATGCCCTGTAGTCCTCGATTCTCCAACATTGGGAAAAAGACTGAATGTATTCACCCTATTCATGCCTCTCATGATCTTACACACTACTGTAAGATCCCCCTCAGTCTCCTGTACTCTAAAGAAAAAAGTTGTAGCTTGTCCAACCTCTCCATATAACTCAGTCCCTTGAGTCCTGGCAACATCCTTGTAAATTTCTTCTGCACTCTTTCCAGTTTAATAACATTTTTCCTATAGCAAGTGTCCAAAACTGAACACAATACTCCAAGTGCAGCCTCACCAACGTCCGGTGCAACTGCAACAGAACTTCCCAACTTCTATACCCAATACCCTGCCTGATCAAGGCCAGTGTACCAAAAGCCTTCTTCACTGCCCTGTCTACCTGTGACTCCACTTTCAGAGAACCATGCACCTGAACTCCAAGGTCCCTCTCTTCCACTACACTCCTTAAGGTCCTACCATTCACCATGAAACTCCTACCATGATTTGAATTTCCAAAATGCAACACCTCACACTTATCTATATTAAATTCCATTTGTCATTTCTCGGCCTGCTCCCCCAGTTGATCAAGATTCTGCTGCAATTTCTGATAACCTTCCTCACTGTCCACGATACTGCCTATTTTAGTATCATCCCGAAACTTGCTAATCATGTCTTGTACATTCTCATCCAAATCATTGATATAGATAATAAACAACAATGGGCCCAGCATGGACCCCTGAGGCACACCACTAGTCTCAGGCTTCCAGTCCGACAAACCTCCTTCCATTATTACTCTCTGCTTTCTACCATCAAACCAATTGTGTATCCAATTTGCCAGCTCTCCCTGGATTCCATGCGACCTAACCTTCCAGAGCAGCCTATCATGTGGAATCTTATCAAAACCCTTATAGACTTTGTTTACAGCACTGCCCTCATCAACCTTCCTGACTACTTCATCAAAGAACTCTAACAAATTTGTGAGGCATGATCTCCCATGCATGAAGCTGGGCTGACTATTCCTAATCAAACCCTGTCTTTCCAAATGCATGTGTCTTTTCCCTCAGAATCATCTCAAGTAACTTACCTGCCATAGATGTTAGGCTTACTGGTATATAATTCCCAGGTTTTTCTTTGCAGCCCTTCTTGAACAAGGGCAGAACATTCACTCCCCTCCAGTTTTCCGGGACCTCACCTGTGGCTAACGATGATGCAAATATATCAGCCAGGGCTCCTGCAATTTCTTCTCCAGTTACATGTAAGAAATGCTACTGTAGGCCTTTGCACCTTAACTGCAATGCTTAGAGTCCTAAAAATATAGCATTGAATAAATTCCTTTTAATAGGGTATATGTGCCATAAAAAAAACATATTTCTTCTTTCAGGCTGAGCCTGTCAGGCCTACGTCTGCTTCCTGTGCAGTCTCCTTATCACAATGGCTTGGAATCAAACTCCACTTTGAGTTCCCTCGACTCAGACTCCTCCGTTTTCTCATTCCTAGAGGAAGAGATCATTGATGTGGATGGAAAGATTGAAGAGTATTTTGCATATGATGGTAAAGAATGGTAAGTGAATATTATCATTAGAGTCTTGGTTATTGTCTTCCTAGGTGCTGCCAGAGAACTGGAGAAGTCTAAATACTGCACCTTTGATCCAATAAAGTTGTAAGGATAAACCCAGCAATTAGAGACTAGTTTAAAGTTTTGGCAAAGATCTGTAGCTTGGGTTCTGGGTGAGGTTGTTGACTTGCTCGCCGAGCTGGCTTGTTCTCATTCAGATGTTTTGTCACTATGCTAGGTGACATCATCAGTGGAGCCTCCGATGAAGTGATGTTAATCTACTCTGCTTGGAATTTATCCTGTCCGGTCCATAATGGTGAGTACTGTCATTTCCGGTTTTGATCTGTATGCGGTTGTATATGGGGTCCAATTCTATATGTTTGTTAATTGCATTATGAGTTGAGAACCACGCTTCTAGGAATTCCCGTGCGTGTCTATGTTTGGCTTGGCCTATTATGGTTACCTTGTCCCAGTTAAACTGATGCCCTTCACTGTCTGAGTGTACCAATATTAAGGAGAGTTCGACCTGCCGTTTTGCTGCTAGCTGACGTTTGTGTATTCTGATGGCTAGTTTCCTTCCTGTCTGTCCGATGTAATGTTTGTGGCAGTTGTTGCATGGTATTTTGTAAACCACGTTGGTTCTGCAAATTGTGGGAATGGAGTCTTTAATCCTCGTGGGTGTTTGTCGTAGAGTGGCTGTGGGCTTGTGGGCCACCGTGATTCCTAGTGGTCTTGGGAGTCTTGTTGTCAGTTCCGATATGTTCTTGATGTAGGCCAGAGTGGCCAGTGTGTCAGTTTAACTGGGACAAGGTAACCATAGTAGCCCAAGCCAATCATAGACACGCACGGGAATTCCTAGAGGCACGGTTCTCAACCCATAATGCAATCAACAAACGTATAGAATTGGACCCCGTATACAAACCCATACAGATCAAAACTGGAAATGACAGTACTTGCCATAACGGACCAGACAGTATAAATTCCTAGCGGAGGAGAATAACATCGCTTCATCGGAAGGTCCACTGACGATGTTACCTAGCATGGTGTTGAAATGTCTGAACGAGAACAAGTCAGCTCGGTGAGCAAGTCAACAACCTCATTAGAGACTAGTTAATTTAACTTTGGAAATGGGGAAATATGTAGAAAGAATCGTTCTGGATAGAGTTAATAGTTACTTAGACAAATATGGACTAATTAGGGAGAGCCAGTATTGATTCACTGAGGGAAAATCACATTTACCTAAATTGGTGGATATCCCTTTTGAATAGGTAAGAAAGAAGGTTGATGAAGGTAATGCAATGATGTGTTGTGATATACGTGGATTTCCCAAAAATGCTTGATGCAGTTTTGCACATAAACTTGTGAAGAAATTTATAAGTCTTGAAGAAAAGTTCCAGTTATAACTTGAGCCGGTAATTTGGAAAGTGGGCATCAAAGTAAGCGACATATCATCCATGACCTTGGCAGCATGAGGCCGCGACTGTTTTGACTCCTGGGCCTTGCCCAGAACTCTTCGTTCAGTGTTACTCAAAATGAAGTGGCACTTAACCTATTGGAGGGAGGGAAATGTTAATTGGTATGAGACCACTAGCAGGAACCAGAAGCAACTGGGTAAGAGACTTGGACGGGCTGTCTAAAGTGTCTCATGATGAGTCGGATGGGCAGGAGTACTGAAACCTTCTATGTGGGCTTGCAGGACAGCTCCTTGTCTTCCTGACTAAGAAAAAAAACGGGTTTCTTTTGCGATTGACCTGGTGGGAGAATCACAACAACCTCCCCATTCTGGCCACTGCTTAAAATAATAATCTCAATTGAGACATTGGAATCTAATTTGATTATTTAAAGATGCACCCCATAGACTTTTGGTGCAGATCTTTCTCATCTGTTTAGAGGTTCATGTTAAATTGGAGATAAACATCAAGGCAATGATAAAATCGGAATTTACAGGTTCCAGCTGAGCCAGGTTTTAAATTTTAAACTAACTTTCCTTAATATTTACTCTGGGTTCCAAATTAAATGAATGCTGTCAGTGTGACTTTATGTGCTTGAGATTACTGATATCTGAGATTTGCATGGATTTTTCACTTGTTTATTTTCCTTAAGTTCAACAAAATTAAATACTTGAAACTGTTTAAAAAAAAACTCATTGCTTAAGTTCTTTGTATAATATCATTCCTAATAATATCAGTCTCTGACCATTTTATTATACATAGAAAAAGAACTATTTTTATATTAAAATGGAACAATGAACAAAGTGTACTCATTGAATATGTATAGTATGCATCATGTGTCATTTATTACTTTGGCTTGTGGAGTTTCCCTTTGCTGCAATCATAATGTAGCAGTTAAACTAGATATTCTCCAATATGTTGATTTCTTTTTCCCTGCTAATCCCCTCATAAAGTAAATGCCCAATTCAAACTATGTTCTTAAGGAAAAGTAGGGCACATACATCCTTTCTTGTGATAAAAGACCAATATATTACACAGTAGTCTGTGTATAGTCTGACTGAAGCTTTGCCAAACATGCCAATTGTTGGTTATCTCTGCAGGTTAACTTTCTGAAATTTGGATACAAGTATATTGAGATCCCTCTGAACACAGTAATAACATTCCACAAATAAAAGCAAAATACTACTGCTGGAAATGTGAAACAAAAACAGAAAGTGCTGGAGAAATTTGGCAAGTCTGGCAGCATCTGTGGCGAGAGAAATTGTGTTAATGTTTTGAGTCTGATATGAATGCTCTGAAGAATCATTCTTCCTATAAACCTATTTTTCCTTAATTACATATTTTGGATTAAGCATTTACTTTATGAAGGGGCCATCATGAAATATATGAAACTAAAACTGGGCATTAGCAGCATGTTTTTTCTTCATTTAGAGAAAGTGGACTATTCTGCCTAGGTCAGTAATTATTGCCCATCTCTAATTTCTCAAGAAGGTGGTGAGCTGAGCTGAATCATTGCACTCCATTTGGTGCAGGTATACAACAGTGATGTTAGGAAGAGAGTTCCAAGACTTCAATCTGGTGCCTGTGAAGGAATGGTATTATAGTTTCAAGTCAGGATAGCGTGTGGCTTGGAGAGGAGCTTACAGATGGTAGTGTTTCATGTATATGCTGCCCTTGTGCTTCTGGATGATAGTGTTTGTAGATGCGGAAGGTAATTTACAAGATTTCTGCAGTGCATCTTGTATACACACTCCTGCTACTGAGCATCGGGGGTGGAGAGAGTGAATATTTGTGAATATGGTGCCAATCAAGCTGCTTGTGTGTTGTAGCTGCACCCATCCAGGTAACTGAGGAGTATTCCATCACACTCCGGTCTTGTGCTTTGTAGATGGTCGACTGGCTTTGAGGAGTCAGGAGGTGAGTTACTCACCGCAGTGTTCTGACCTGCTGTTGTAGCCACTGTGTTTATGTGGTGAGTCCAGTTGAGTTTTTGGTCATTAGTAACACCAGGATGTTAATAATAAGGGATTCAGCAATCATAATGTTTTGAATGTCAAGGAGTGATGGTTAGATTCTCTCTTATTGGTGATAGTCATTACCCAGTACTTGTATGATGTGAATGTTACTTGCCAGTTGCCAGGCCAAATCAAGATACTGTCCAGGTCTTATTACATTTGGATATGAACTCCTTCAGCATCAGTGGAGTGATGTATGTTGCTAAATGGTGTGAACATCCCCACTTCTGACCTTATGATGGAGGGAAGATCATTGATGAAGCAGCTGAAGTTGGTTGTGCCTAGGGCACTATCCTGAGGAACTCCTGCAGAGATGTCCTGTAGCTGAGATAACTGACTTCCAACAACTACAACTACCTAATTATTTGCCAGGTATGACTCCAACCAGTGAGAATTTTCTTCCTAATGTCCATTGACTCCAGTTTTGCTAGAGTTCCTAGATGGTGCATTTGACTAAATGTAGCCTTGATGTCTAGGGTGGTTGGAGACAGCAAGAACTGCAGATGCTGAAGTCAAAGTCAATACAGTGTGGAGCTGGAGGAACACAGCAGGTCAGGCAGCATCAGAGGAGCAAGGTGGTTACTCTTGCCTCACCTCTGAATTTCTGTTCTTTTGTCCATATTTGCACAAAAGCTGTAACAAGGTCAGGAACTGTAACCTTCACTGACAGAGTCTCAGTGAACAGGTTATTGCTTGGCATGTGATGCTTGATAGCACCGTTGATGATATTTCTTTTCATTTTACTCTTAATCAAGAGCAGGCAAGTGAGGGTCTGTAAATGTCCATGATGGAATTGTCCTGCTTTTTGTGCACAAGACGTACCTGAGCAATCTTCCACATTGTTAAGTACATGCTAGTATTGTATTGGACAAGCTTAGCTTAGAGGCATAGTAAGTTTTTTGAAGCACATGTCTTCGCACTATTGCTAGAATATTGTCAACATCCTTTGCAGTATTCAGTGCCTTAATTTCATGTGAAGTGAATCAAATTGACATCTGTGATGCTGGGAACACTGGAAAGGCCAAGATGGATCATCTACTTGTGTTAGGTGTTTTCTACTCAACCTATTTTAGAGGTGCTATGACAACTTCGGGAGCAGGTGGGACTTGAAGCTGAGCTTCCTGCCTTGGAGCTAGGGACACTATCATTGCACCATGAGAGTACTTTCCACTTATAAGATACCCAATCACTTAACACAAAAAGCATTAGTTATTGAATTGAATGTAGTTATACCTGGTTGTAAGGAAAGGCACTGGAACTCAACACATGATTCCCTCTTCAAACTGCCCCATTTCATCCAACCATACAGCAAAAATCTTAATGCTTTAAATAAGTATTCTTTTAATAGTGGAGATTAAAAAGGATCATTTGCTACATAGACTGTACACAAAGCCCAGCAATACTGTCAAATTATTAAATGTCTTCTTTTGGAGTGAGTTACATGGAGCTTGCTTTGTTTAATTACAGTTTTAGTGATGATGAGAGTTCGGAACAAAAGAACGTTCAACTTGCACGAAGGAGAAATAAACGAGGCATTCCACCCATTTCTCCCAATGCCTGTATTAAAGATGCTGCCTCAGCAGAGATATTTGATGACATCTGGCGGGATGTGATTGAAATGATGGAAGAGTTAATCAGGAAACAGTGGGAAAATACCCTTTCAGGTATTGGAGATCAAAGACTTGAACTGTTGCTTCATTCAAGCAGTTTACTGTTTTGTTTTGCAAATGCACCATGCAAATTAATTTATTTAAATCCTAAATGCTTCAGGAATACAATTCAGACTTGTACTTGAAGTCACCTGTGATCTCCAGTGGCCACACTTTATGCTCAAGTTCAATGCTAATATCTGCATTATGAATTTATCTCTGTTGCACTCACCTTTTCATGCAATCAACTATTCTAACTAGTCAATCACAAATTATAGCATTTCATTCCATTTCATGCTTTTAAAAATGTTATAAAGATGTTGCATTGCAGTTAGATTTATCCACAGAGTCAAAATTCATAAAGTAAACATGTTTTCATATGCTTTAAAGACAAGGTATCACATGCATTATTCAGTGTTTGACTTGAACACTTCACGCCAAACCCAAAGTACATGGAGCTGTGGTTAGGGAGGCTTCATTGGCTGATGACTCAGAGATTGTAAGAACTGCCAATGCTGGAGTCAGAGTTAACACAGTGTGTAGCTGGAGGAACACAGCAGTCCAGGCAGCATCAGAGGAGCAGGAAAGCTGACGTTGCAGGTCGTTTTCTGAAGAAGGGTCCCGACTCAACATTAGCCTGCCTGCTCCTCTGATGCTGCCTTGTCTGCTGCTTTCCTCCAGCTCCACAGTGTTATATTTGCTGATGACCGTTTTGTTTAGCAGGGAGCGATCAGGGAATGCAACATGGCACTGACCACTTGTCATATGCAAGTGGTGACCTCTGTCTCATGACCTGCAGTAAAAAAACAAGTCATTTTGCAACTTGCCTATGCTCTGACCTTCTTCAACTTATTGGCAACAATTGGCTAGGTTTTGTGGTCCACCACCAGACGTGTTTTCAGCAGGAAGGGCACATAGAATATGATTGGTAACTGGCCCACTGCCATCCCATCCAACCCTGCACCATACCCCATAAAATGGTAGGTGGGGAGGTGCAGAAAATGGCAGGCCATCAGCCATTTATAAAAACGTAATGAACGAGAAGTTGAGTTTATTGGCAATAAAATGATTGGCATGGGCATCAGAGTGTAAGTGTAAGCTCTTTTTTAACCAAACTGGTCAAATGCTAGAAGGTGGGCATAGCATTACATACTTCGCTGGCTTCCCTCTGTGCACTGGGAACACCCCATCCCAAATGTTTCCCAGCCTATAGCACTTCCCATTGGCCCACGCAAAACCAAATCCCCAACCCTGCCTCGGGTCCCTGATTAAAATCCAGTCTTTTCCTGGATCCATGAACTTGGGCTCTATTCACCTGGGGTTTGATTCCGGCACTTCCCATCACTGAGTTCTGGTATTATTGAGATAGCTAGATTGGCCAGTAGCCCTAATGGGCTTCCTCCTACTAATTAGCAAAAGTCTCACTTTCTCATTGAGTTAAGGTTATGTGCAAGATGTTTTTACTGTGGGCCAGTGTTGTTTGGTGTGGGTTAGCTGATGTCTGACATTTCTTCGAGTTGGGAGGGTGGAGCTGCAGGGGCGGTGATCAGTCTGTGACCCCTGCTTCCGTCTGTAGAATTCAACTCGGTATCATTTTCAGTCATTTATTACGGTGAATATTCAAAGCTTGAAGCAGTCAACAAATGTACCTACCTGGCAGCACATTCTCCAGAGTAGTTTACAATTTTTGATGACATGAACACAGAATAGCTAAGCATTGTTTTTGGCAAGTTACGTAAAACTGTCTGGGAATGGAAAAGAATTAATCTCTCAATGAAAGCGAAGAGGTATAGAACCACTAGTACCTTTCCCAAGTGAATACTTCCATGTAAAATGTGCAAGAGATCCAGTTGTTCCTAAGTAGAATAATTAGTTGTCATCAAACATATTGCATATGAGACTTCTAACCCATTAAGGCTTTGTTGATCTCATGCCAATTTTTCACTCATGAATGACAAGTACACGCATGATCATAAGAAGTGGATCCAACACGTTCCCCAACCACTCAGGTGTTCAGTTGACTGGATACCAATCAGCCATTAGTGCTAGTTTTGTCTCTGTAAGGACTGAGCCTTGCATTGTGGTCAGGATGCTTGAAGAACACATTTATCCAAATTCAATTGTCACCTCCTGCCCTTATGAAGGACATGCATAGGGAATCCTTTAGGGTGGGTCGTGACCTTCCACCCTTCAGAATTGATGAACTACACTGCAATCAGCAGTCTCCAAGATGCACTTCAAGAAACGAAACTGGAACTGGTCAGTTTTTGCAAAATAGTTGTTCTCCCCAGAGATGTAAGTTGCTAGCAGGTGAATTCATGGAATTGCAGAACCTTGCTACACTGAAATAGGGCATTTTTCACCCTGGCAGGTTCTTCTAGAATAATCAAATTAGTCACAGTCTGCTCTTTATCTTTGGCCCTGTTAATTTTTTTTTCATTATTCTGCTGTTATTCAATGAACTTTATTCTTGATGTAATCAAGTGAAAATAATGCAATATCAAGAAGAGGGTTTATACAGGTCAATGTCCCACTGGTAGGAAGCAATAGCAAATAGCAATTTTCAAGTTTGATTGTCAGAATACATAAGATATCAGAAACTTTTTTTAATTTCAACTCAGGTTACTGGTCAATATTTTTATGACACTTTTAATTAAAATGGATACTTATATTGACACTCTGATTTTAGACTTCTTATTGTAAACTGTTGAAAAAAATCCCTGCAAAATCTGTGCTTTGTGTTGTATCATTTCATTCCTTTAATTCATATTAAACACCTGTTCTAAATGTCCCTTTATTGTTGCAGTGAAGTTACTATTAAAGATTAAAACTTTGCACTGTATGACACAGTTTAACCTTTGTGAAGGTGATGCTGCTTCCGCCATTCCTACACTGGGTAACTGTTACATTTCCTTTTATTTCCTGTATTGGCTACAGACCACGATAAGCAGACAGTGAATATGCAGAGTGCAATAATGAACAAACTCCCTCGGATCAATGATTCCCGAATCATCGTAACAAACTATGGTATTCCACCTTCCCGAGGCTCTGAGACACGTGTCTTGGCATTGGGTACATCCTTCATCCACTCTCAGGTACATTCCAGTCTCTAATTGTTTATAGATGTGGCTGGGATCATTAAACAATCAAACAACAGTCTTTGAAATCACACGATGAATGCAAATCGCAAATGATACATATTGCTCAAATAAAAGCAACATACTGCAGTTGCTGGAAGTCTGAAATAAAAGATTCTGGTAAAAGATCTGAAACAAAAGAAAAAAACATTTTCTGAAGCTGAGTCTTATTGGATTTGAAGTGTGAACTCTTGTTTCTCTTTCCACAGATGCTACCAGACTTGCTGAGTTCTATCAGCATGCTCTCTTTTTCTATTTCTATTATAATACATACTGCTATTTGGCCATGATTGCTGTGCCAAGAGGGTTGACAGTATTTAAGAAGTATAAAAAGTAGTCAAAAGATATTTAATAGCTTAAATAAAAACTATTAAAAAGTGTTCTCCTTGATGATTTTGTTGCTCATTTTATTAACCTTTTATACAGCTGATTGAGGAGTCTGGTAGAACCAGGGAAGTCTCCAATTCCATCTTAGTTTCTGTGGAGAAGCTGGTCTTGGGTGGCATTTTGGATGTTACATCTGGCTTCCGCATCCCTCACCTAGCAAAGAGGGAATTAATCAGAGTTTGTACTCCTGTGGGGAAGTGAATCTCTCTGGCTGTCAGGCAAATGCAAGATTAAGCTCAGACATTATGAAAGTCGGTAAAAAGTAATGCCCTCCTTGTGGTGAGGTTGTGGTGGGGTTGCATTTAATCGGCAGGCCTTCCCCAAAAAGAGGCTGTCCAACCTGTGGGCAAATCTCCTCTCGCTTCCTCCACAGGCTGTGTCTAAAACAGTTTACTGACACTCACTCACTCTGTGAGCAATAACACTCGGCCAGTTATTGAATACAGCTGGGACCCATGAAATGAGGATAGATCAACAATTTCAGGAAATCCTCAATTTGCCAATTTCAGGTTGGATCAAGTGATATGCTCCCCTGTCAAAATGAAATTAACTGCAATATGAAACATCAATTTACAACCTGTACCTAAGCCAGAAATAAAAAACAGTAGGGAATGGATGAGATTGATTCTACCAAAATGACATGTGTGCCAGTTCCCTGGCTCAGTTCCACCACAATCATTTTTGCAGAGGCAGAATGCTGGTGGATGTGAGTGGAGGAAATGAGAGTTAAGCAAACTTCTCAATGACCTTTTAAGTCCAGTCAAAGGAAGGTTGACTGAGGTCTCGTGTTTTCCAGCAGCTGAAGGTGGGCTAGTGCTCCTGGCAGGCATAGAGGTGTTTGCTGCCTGCCTGAATACTGCAGCAATAACTGCTACCCTGAGGAGGAATTCTCTCCCACCTCCCCCCACCACTGCAGCAAGAGTGGTGACCTGGCCCTAAAAGCTATTTTTAAACTAATTTTTGAAAAGTTGAAGCAAGAATGACTCCACCTTGAAGTGCTATCTCCCCCACTGCTGCTTTCAACTTTTGGCTTCAGGTTCTCCAGCTTTGCGCGTCATTGTATTGTCCGTTAATTAAACACAATTGGGAAAAATCACTTTGAATAACTGTTTCTTACGCTGACCCCGCACCATATTCGATGACCTCCATTTGAACCTGATGGTTGGGTAGAAAACATTCCCTGCAGTTTTACACTAAGCTACCAAATACAACAAATTTCTCTGTTTAATCTTTAAATGCTTTTTGTATTTTTGCTTACAATTATTACTTATCAAATTCCTCACTGAAAGGGCCCATGTATTAAGCTGAATAATTCAACTGGTCAAATTGAAAATGAAGGGAGGAGGTTCTGAAGGATCTCAATGAAAATGAATTTAGGTGTTATTCTTCACAAACATATGTTTTGAAAGTGATTCCCTTTTGAGAACATGCAGATTGATTCTGCATTGATGAAGAAATGCCCAAAGCTAAGTTTATTTCCCCAGCTCAGTCTGAAAGCCCAGAATATCATTCCAATCCTTTGACTTTGTTTTCTAATCAACTTGCCAAGTGATGTGATTCGAAATCTAAACTGTACTTAAATCTTTGAACCAAACAATGATGAAATCCACAGAAGTAAATTGTTTCAGTTTGCTTGATCTGAAGTAGACTGGTCCCCTAGCTGCCCCTGTTAACAACATTTTAATTTTACCCTTTATATGTTTAAGCAGATCTGGCTGGAAATTAAATACCAGTCATATCCCAGATTTTCTATTTGAGATCTTGTCACCCTGAAACTGGAGACACCGTTGTGAAATGTAATGCTGTGAACATCTGATTCACTGCAAAGAATTCAGACAATCTCGAAATTGCAGTGGGAGAAATTAGTAGATGGATCTGTTTATGTAACAGGCGTCTGCGTTTTTAGTGGAAATCTTCACCCATTTGAAATAGCTGGATCTATGCCTGTCTCAAAATAGTGGGTACAGGGATATCCTATTAACCCATTGTGCCTTTGTCCATTGATTCCAACGACATCACTTGGAGACACCATTTAAAGGCCATCAAAAAGATAACTGAGAATGTAAAATCACAAGTGGAACAAAAGGCATCCTTGGGGTATGAGGTGGGGCTATTGAGTACTTCCAGGTACTAAAGTACTTAGAAAGAAGCACAACCCTTGAAGTAGGAGACGTGAGGGAAAGAAACAAACATTGCAGAAATTAGCATTTTTAAGCATTTGTCAGTAAGACTCTTTTCCTATAATTGAAGAAGCATGAGCTGCAATCAAGTGTACAAGTGAAATGGTACAAGGAACATAATTACTGGAGTGTTTGAATATTTAGGAACAAACAAGCAAGTGGACAGCAACCACAAATACTTCAGGAAAGACAGAAATAATGAAAATTGAAATTAAAATATTTTCAGTTCATTAGAGAGACGGGAAAAGTTTGTGGAGAGGCCGCAGTTTGGCTGAGTGGTTAGCACTGCTGCCTCACAGTGCCAAGGACCTGGGTTCTATTCCAGCTTTGGGTGACTATATGTGTGGAGTTTGCATGTTTTCCCTGTGACTGCATGAGTTTCTGTCGGGTGGTCCGGTTTCTTCCAATAGTTCAAAGATTTGCAGGTTAGATGGATTGGCCATGCCAAATTGCCCTGCAGTATCCAGGGATGTGCAGTCTGGGTACATTAGCCATGGTAAATACGAGGTTACTGGGATAGGGTTGAGGGCTGCCTCTGGGTGAAATGCTCTTTGGAGGGTCAGTGCAGACTCAAGTGGACTGAATGGCCTCATTCCATGCTGTGGGGATTCTGAGTTTGTTTGGAGAAATGCAGTTGTACTAGTGGGCTTGTTGACCTCTGCTTCTGCTGTAAATACCTTTGTGTACGGTCTGGGCAGCTATTAGGGTGTATCAGTTGAAGCAGCCAGTTTTGGGGCATGTGGATTTGGTAAGTCCGGGGGCAATCCAGGAAAGCGGAATGGGAACATGGGAGCAAAGGGGCTGAAAGAAGTGTCTTTTTCAGAATGGTAGCCGGTGACTATGGGAAGTCCACAGAGGTCCATATTGGGACCACAACTATTCATGTTATACATTAACGATCTGGATGAAGGAACTGAGGGTATTGTTGCTAAGCTTGCAGATGACAGAAAGATAAGTGGAGGGACAGGAAGTGTTGAGGAAGCGGGGAGGCTGCAGAACAATTTGTACAGGCCAGAAGAGTGGGCAAGGAAGTGGCAGATATAATATAATGTGGGAAAGTGTGAGGTTATGCACTTTTGTTGGAAGAATGGAGGCATAGACTATTTTCTAAATGGGGAAAGGCATCGGAAATCTGAAGCACAAAGTGTCTTGCAGCCCTAGTTCAGGATTCTCTTAATGCTGCAGGGTCAAAATAAAAATTAGGAAGACAAATGCAATGTTAACATTCAATTTGAGAAGACTAGAATATAAGAGCAGCGATGTATTGCTGAGGCTGTATAAGGCTGCGATCAGACTGCATTTGGAATACTGTCAGCACTTGGGCCCTGTAGATAAGGAAGGATGTGTTGGCATTGGAAGGCACCCAGATGAGGTTTACAAGAATGATCCCGGGGATGAAGGGCTTATCATATGAAGAGCAGTTGAGGACTCTGGGTCTGTACTTGATGGAGTTTAAAAGGATGAGGGGGGGATATGATTGAAACTTACAGAATATTGAGAGGCCTCGATAAAATGGATATAGAGATGTTTCCACTAGTAGGAGAGACTAGGACCGAAGGCACAGCCTCCGAGTGCAAGGACGACTCGTTAGAGATGAGATGAGGAGGAATTTCTGCAGCCAAGGGTGGGGTGAGGGTTCATCTGTGGAACTCTTTGCTGCAGAAGGCTGTGGAGGCCAAGTCTTTGTGTATATGTAAGACAGAGATAGATAGATTTTTGATTAGTAAGGGGATCAAGGGTCACAGAAAGAAGGCAGGAGAATGGGGTTGAGAAACGTATCAGCCATAATCGAATGGCAGAGCAGACTCAGTGGGCTGAATGGCCTAATTCTATACCTGTGGTCTATGGTCAAATGCCTCTTGTGGTCCAGTGGTTGATGACCAGTGCTGTGTTTACTAAGGAAATAATATGCAGTGAGTATCTTTAAAATCCTCCCTTGGTGGGTGGTCCAAAGCTGCATTTTGAAGTTATGTCCTTTGTATTTCACAAATACATTGACTTTCCTATATTGACAAAGCAGAATTATTTCCCTTAATTAAAAATAGCTTAATAATAATGAAGCTGATAATCTGAAATATAATCAGAATGTGCTGGAGCCACTCATAAGGCCAGACAGAATCTGCGCAGAAAATAACACGATTAACATTACAGGTCAATGACTGAACTCAGAACCCACTTTTGTGGAAGGTGAGGCTAAGAAGAGACCCTATTATGACTCTGAAAGAGAGGAGAATGAGTGAGGGTTGAACTGCAAAAAATCAGAAGGAGCTGACCAAGGATGTTTGTCCTGGTCGAGGAAGAGCCTTGGCGGAGTGAAGGAAGAACATTGAGAAAATATGGTGTAAAAGGTGGCATCAGAACAGATGTGATGAAGGAGAAACTAAGGGAAGGGAATGGCGTCCTTACAGGAAGCAGTGTGGGAAGAAGTTTTTAGTTTGTAACATAGTAAACGTAATGATAAAGATTTCTTAGAAATCCTGCAATCTCTATTAAATTGAAACCTCTTTGTTTACCTTTCTTTGTCAGAGTTTGAGACTGTAGTCTGTTTTTTGAAGAATAGGCTAGAATACATATTTTTTATTGTTATTTGTGTTCTTTTAACTACTGATATGATTCCAGCATTTCAAAAATTGTTTTGACTGGTCACATTATATGCATTCTTCTGTCATACCTTGTAGGCTTATCGTATGACAAATGCTTATCGTAATGATTTAAATGGTGTGATGACAATTCAAGCCAAGCCACTTCAGCAGAGACATGCAGGATTACCTGATAAAACACAGTGAGTATCGCAGAAAAACATTAAGAACAGAATTTTGCTTCTTGTCTGAAGATTGTTACAAGGAAGCATTGACAAGGCATTTGAGATGTTTAATAGTGAACTACCAGCGTTCACCAACACTAGCAGATTCAATAAGGGGAATCCAATGGATGTAGCATGTATAGATAAGGTTTCCCACAGGAGGTTGGTAAACAATATTAAAGTGCTGTGAATTAGGAGTAATGCACTGGTATAAATTGAGAATTGATTAATAGAATGCAGAGAGTAGAAATAAATGGGTCATTCTTGTGATTAACCTTTTAGTCATTCTCTGTCTTTCTTTATATCTGACTTGCCACTCAACTTTGTGCAGTTATATGCTTTTTTCCTTGAGTTTGATGCTTCATCAAACTTCTTCAGTTAACCATGGATGTTGAATGCTCCCTTTAGATTTTCCTTTATAGTAGGAATATGCTTTACCTGAGCATTTTTTAAAATCCTCTTAAGTATTTGTCACAGTGTCTTCGTTGATGTATTACCTAAGTCCACTTCAGCTAGCCAGTTCACTTCAGCTAGCTCAGGCTTCATGTTAACATAACTGCCCTTATTTAGGGCTCACCAACCTCAGTTTAGATTCTGTCAGAGACACTCAGCTTCTGACCTCGCTACAACCTTGGTTCAAATATGGACAAAAGATCTGAACTTCAAAGGTGAGAGTGACTGTCCTTAATGACAAGATTGCATTTAACCATGTGTGGAATCAAGGAATCCTAGCAAAACTAGACTAAAGGGAAATAATGGGGAAAATTCACCGCTGGTTGGAATCATACCTGGCAGGAAGGAAAGTGGTTGTGGTTATTGAATCTCAAGGACATCTCTGCAGGTGGTCCCCATGATAGTATCCATCTTCAGCTGTTTCATTAATGACCTTCCCTCCATAATAACGTTGCGATGAGGACTGATGGTTACACAATGTTCAGCATCATTCTTGATTCTTCAGATACTAAAGCAAGTCCTTGTCCAAATGCAGCAAGACCCAACCAATATCCAGGCTTGGACTGAAAAGTAACAAGGAAGATTTGTGTGAAACAAATGCTAGGGCAATGACTACCTTCGACTAAAGAGAATCTAACTATAGCCCTCTGACATTCAATGACATTACCATCATTGTATCTTCCACTATCAGCATCTTTGGGGTTCCACTGATCAGAAGTGAAATGGACTAGTCATATAAATACTGTGGCTGTAATCTCGCAGTGAGCAACTAACCTCCTGACTCCCCAAACCCTGCCCACCAAGGCACAAATCAGGAGTGTGATGGAATACTCCCTATTTACTTGGATGAGTACAGCTCCAACAATACTTAGTAGCTTGACTGTCCAGGTCAAAGAAGCCCATTTGATTTCAAACACATCCACAAACATTTCCTCCACCAGTGATGTTCAATTACAGCAGTGTGTACCCTCTACAAAATACACTGTAGAAATTCATCAAGGCTGCTTAGACAGCACCTTCCAAACCCATGACCACTACCATCTAGATAGCCAAAATCAACAGAACATGGGAAGACCACTTGTAAGTTCCTTTTCTAGTTCCTTACTATTCTGTGCACCAAATTCACAGTAGCCCCTTTACTGTAACTGGGTCAGCAGCCTGGAAATCCCTCCTTAATGGCATCTTGAGTCTGCCTACACCACATGGATGTTGGCAGATCGCCACTGCCTTCTCTAGGGCAATCCGGGACAGGCATAACTGTTGGTACATCCAGAGAAGCCTAAATCCCTTGAACAAATAAAAATAGAGAATAAGATATGAATTACTTTTCATAATAGAATAGATGGCTTTCAGTTGATATATTGACATACAAAGATAGGTGTCACTGAACTCAGGCAGTTGTTGCTGCAACCTTTGCAGACTGAGTTTGTTCAGGAAACAATGAGAGGAATTCTGAGCTTTTCAGAAGAAAAGGTAGATCAGTGTTTCGGTTGTCATGCTGGACCCTCAAAGGGTTTTGTCAGAAAGGCAGAGGACGAGCTGGCTAGCTTCTGTATCTCAGCAGCTGTATCCCAACTGAACTCCATAGAAAATCCAAAACAAAAATTAGACTCCTGACAGCCATAAACCCAGGCACATAATTTTCAGTAAATGAGTCAAAACGTTTAGTTTAAGTCATGTGACTTCCAAAAAGTATTTTCTTTCAAAAAAAAAGTTCCAATGTGTCCTTTTAGTGATCCCTTTAAAAATAAATACTGGTCCAGGTAGCTCCTTAATCTTTAAACATGAATCCATAAAAGAAAATAAAAATGTAATATCTTCATAATAAATATCTCTTTGCAATGTCCTAACCACATCAACATTACTTGGTGTTCTTCCTAAATCTTTTTAATTTCAGGCACTGTTAAGAGAAATAAGTTAAATTTTCCTAAAATTGGGAATCAAGAGGTGGTAGGGGGAGGGGGCTGGGGAAATGGCATGGGATACATTCTTGAGGGAAGAATCGGTTAAACTTTGGACAGAGTAGGCCTGAGGTGCTCCATGGTACTTTCTTAATATGGATTTTCTTTTAATCTGGATTCATAGGTTTTGGGGGAGCTTTCAATGTATGTGTACTGGATGTGATTTGTAATGTCTTCCTTCCCCCCGACCTAAAGGTGTGACCAGGATGAGAAGCAGTTCAGCACAGGCTCCAGTATTTTGTCCACAATACGTAATCGCCTGGGACGGAGTACAGATTACAGTGTTCTATCAGCGTCCCGTATCATGCAGGCATCTTCACGAAAGACAGGTTCACAACGTAAACTGCCATCCCTCGGCTCAGAGCTATTGAAGGCAAAGGCTGCAAATGTCTACAGTGATGAAATTCTTCGAGGAACTAAACTGTAAGGGGCAATTTAAAAAAAAAAGTCTTAATTTAGGTTTGCAAAGTAACTTGTGTGGGTGCAGACAGAATGGCTAGAAGTGAACTGAAAGTTATGATTTGAGCAGTGAATGAAAAGAGTGAATCTTGAATAATTGAAACTTAAAGTTGTTAATTAAACTGTCTATGTGAATGCTTAAATCTGATTGGCTGATTAGCCAGCTCACAACCTGCTTTGTTGCTGAAATCCATAGATCTCGTCCTGATGGTACAAAATTTGACCTGACATTTGCCTAAGCTCTAGAGCCTGCCAAATTTTTGTGGGAAGATTTTTATCAAGGCCATCACGGACTACTGTCCCCTCTGGTACTGGCCACAAAGATTCATTTTCACAGTGGGATGTCAGTCAGATCATAGCTTGAGTGACCCCTCTTTGCATTTATAAAAATATTGAAGTGGAACAATGAATGCAAATGCTTGTTTCCATGAATAATTAAGATATTGAAGCAAGTCACGACGTGGAGGTGCCAGTGTTGGACTGGGGTGGACAAGGTCAGAAGTCACACGACACCAGGTTATAGTCCAATGGGTTTATTTGAAATCACAAGCTTGTGAAGTCGATTGTTGGTCTATAACCTGGTGTCATGTGACTTCTGACCTTCTTTCTTATTGACTGTATTTTTGTTAAAAGTAGTGAATAGATCAACCAACAGTTGAAATTTTTTATCATATTTCATATTTGCATCTGTCCTGGGGTTTCCCCATAGTGGATACTGGGTAAATTTGGCATGGAAGACATAAGGATAAAGGAGTGAAGTGTCATGGGCTGGCAGGCATAGATGATGCATAGGAAGAGCTGGATAAAGAAATAAACTGAATATTTTGCACATTCAGTTTCATTCAAAGCATAACACATTATTGAAGGCTATTGGTGTCAACTACCTATGGATCACATAAATGGCTAAGATCACTACCAGATGGAAAACCTTCATTAAACACTCTAGAAAAAGGACTTCCATTTCCACAACCAAAATCCTTTTGATAATTTCATGAGAATCCTAATCAAGTTGCTACCAGTGGAATTGAAAAAATCTGGTGTTGAAGGAAAATTTCTCATCTAGTCCATTACATCACTGCTCTTAATAAAGATATATCATCATGTAGGAGTCAATTGGATTTACCAAAATAATTTTTCTGCTTATCTTACAGTGCAAACACTTTCTCGAATTACAAGAGTAGTCAGTATGTTGAAAGCACTGCTAAAGTCTCCAGTGGAGTAAGGCACCAATCATATCAACATTTAACACTTAAGAAGTAAGCTCAAATGTTAAGCAGATTGTACCTGTACTGTGTCCTAATGTGAGAACAGTGAGAACAGACTGGTATAAATCATTACTTAAAGTGTTAGATGAAGGAAAATTAGCTGGAAGAGTTTTGTATAAATTACAGTATGCCCTCAGTTATCCAATCAAATTTTTTTTGATTCCTTTTTTTTCATAAACACTTATATAAACAGCTTCTTATTTGGAGCCAATGAATAGAAGGGCCACAGCAACAGTGCTGTTTACACCAGAGAACTACCTTATGTCACCTGCATCTTGGTAGCTCATACTGCCCGTAGTGTACAAGATAAAACTTGATCAGACCACTAGACGGCTTCCACAGGGAAGCCTGAAACACATGCTCGACTGGGTTGTCTATATAGCTGATTAAGCTCATTAAAAACCTGTTGAGATTTAATGAAGCTCTCGTGAGACTAATTAAAGAAGGCCGATTTGGATTTTCCAGTTACCCTCCAGGTTGCTGAAGGTGCCAAAAGCTCCTGAGGCACAGTGATGGTGTCAGAAAACTGGGTTCAAATCCCACCTCTCCTAGAGGTATGTCATAACGTGTCTGAACAGGTTGATTAAAGAATAATTAAATGGGGTCACTGTAAACCTAATGCTGCAGAGTTAAAATTCTGCAAATGGTGGGGACTGTTTCAGGGTGATCAACTGTTAAGAAACTATCTACAACGTGCACTGTAGAAATTTGCCAAAGATCCTTTCTGTCTTTCAAGCCCACGACCACTTCTACCTAAAAGGACAAGGGAATAAGATGCACCTGCAAGATCCCCCCCCCCCCCATCCAAGGAAATCACCATCCTGGCTTGGAAAAATACTACTGCTCCTTCACTGTCCTTAGGTCAAAATTTTGGAATTCGCTCTCCTGCCGACATGTGGCTCAATCTACAGCACATAGACTGCAGTGTTTCAAGAAGGCAGCCCACTGCTACCTTCTCCAGGGCAACTACGAATGGGCAATAAATGCTGGAGCAGCCAGCAACACCGACATCCCACATGTGAATACAAAAATATAAGATTTTCAAAATTTTTTTGTATGTGGCTGCTAAACCTATTCTCATTAGTGTTGTCTTTGTCCATTCTAACAAATATTATTGTATATCAGTGACTATCAATAAGTACTGCAGTGGCAAGTACAGCTGAAAGTTAAACAACTTAGTGCTGTAGAAACATCCTGTTTGAACTTGAGCAATTTGTAATATTTTTAAATAATCAAACTCAGACATTTTGTTTCATGGGCATTCAGATGATGGATATAAATGATTCAAGTTAGACTGTTCATTGAAAGCCTCTGCACATTACTTTACATTTCATCAAATAAGATTTCCATACATAACATAAAATTGGACATTCATATTTCAGCATTATATCATTAATCGATTATTGGATGTGATGTTTTTTCTATGATGATTTTCTATGATGATCTTTAACAATGCTTCTATGGTGCAGTTTGTGATTATTCATTAATTCAAGTCTTAAATAGCACCCTAACAACATCTGATTGAGAGCAAAGGCAATATTTTTATAAAGCTAAAGAGGCTTTTAATTCTCACCTATTCAGGCACATTGGCACTGATCGGCCATCCTCACCCCCAGTACACACTGCTCGTAATAACCAATTACCACCTATTCATACAGAATCAACAGAAGCACAACTTCCCTTACCTGGGTCAAGATATCAACTGGTAAGATGGATGGAGGCCTTGCTAGATTCATGTTTTGAGAGTTAAATCTGCGTTAATTACCTGAATTTATATGTGTTGGTGCTGGTAAGATTTTGAAGCCAAGTTCTTGGGAGCATAACTTCAGCGACCTTGGGCAGAATTCCCACTTCTGATCACCATCCGTGATCCATCACATTTAATATTTACAGTGATGCTGCTTTCATATTCAGTATTTACCAGCACTTTGCCTAGGTGTACACATGGAGAACTACCAATTAATATGTGCTTGTAATAATGAGGAAAAGAAATTTGACAAAAGAAACTGGCTGGCTTTTTATGCAAGTAATGTCTAATCACCAATATTGATTCCTGTTGTCTGTTTTCACGATAAATTTCTCAAACGTTCCATAGTGGTACATCTTCTACTTTTTTTTTACTTTATTCATTCACGGGATGAGGACGTCACTGGCCAGGCAGCATTAATTGCCCAGGGGGCAGTTAAGAGTCAACCACATTGCTGTGGGTCTGGAGTCAGATGTAGTCCAGACCAGGTAAGGATGGCAGTTTCCTTCCCTAAAGGACATTAGTGAACCAGATGGGTTTTTCCCTGATAATCAACAATGGATTCATGGTCATCATTAGATTCTTAATTCCAGATATTTGTTGAATTCAAATTTCTCCATCTGCCATGGCAGGATTCAAACCCGGGTCCCCAGAATGTTATCTGGGTCTCTGGATTAACAGTCCAGTGATAATACCACTAGGCCATCACATCCCCTGATATTTACAAACATTAAATTATCATTACTAATCATTCAGTTTAAAATGATACTAAAAACTGTCTTTCACAGAGGGGAAGATTCCCACATAGCAGAGTGTCAAGTGCCATTGGGGAAGGAACAGGCCGACGAACTCTCAGGGAACGACTGATCACAATAGACACTTCTTCACGGCCAAATACTACACATACATTTCGGGTAAGATCTTTGATTTTATTTTAAATAAATTCCTGAACATAAAAATATTAGTGATATTGGGATATGAATGCATAGTTTTTTTTGAGTTCTGTGGAAGCTTAAATAGTTTGTGTTACATCATTGTATTTTGTACTAACTATTTCCTAAATGCTGAATTTATTATTAAACATGTTCTAGCAAGACACTTAGAAAACATTATTGGAACTAGCAAGGTCTGACAAACAGCAGTGGATAATGACCAGATGATCAGTTTTTTTTAATGTCAACAGGAGGATAAGAATTGGCCAGGACTCTAAAGAGAATTCCCTTGCTGCTCTTCAAGATGGTGCCATGGTGTTGGTGGGGGTTTTGGAGGAATCTTACAGATCTCACAAGAGTGGGCAATATGGTGTGAGGGACTTTTAGATAAGCACATAAATATGCAAGAAATGGAGGGCTATGGATCAAGGGCAAGCAGAAGGGATTAGTTTAATTATACATGGTCTGCTCAGATGAGCAGAATGATTACAAATGGAATTTAATTTTGAAGAGTGTAAGCTGATGCATTTTGGGAGAATTAATAAGGCAAAGGTGTACACAATGAATAGTTGGCCCATCAGAAGTAAAGAAGATCGCAGGACCTTGTTGTTCATATCCTCAGATCCTTAAAGGCAGCCGGTATGATAGTTTGGGTGGTTGTGCGGACATATAGGAACCTTGCCTTTATTCATTGAGGTATTGCAAGGGGACACGGAGATTATGATGGAACTGTACAAGATATAATGCCACAGTAGGAGTGCTTTGTGCAGTTCTAGTCGCCACACTAAAAGAAAGACATGATTGCATTAGAAAGAGTGTAGAGGAGATTCCCCAGGATGTTGCCTGGGCTGGAACATCTCAGCTATGAAGATTGACTAGATAGGTTGGTGTTGTTTTGCTTAAAGCAGGGAAGGCTGAGGGGGACCTGATTATGGTGTACAAAGTTATGAGGAGCATGAATAGGGGAGATAGGAAGAAACATTTCCCCTTAGTAGAGGGGCCAGCTATTTGGAATGAAGATTTAAGGAAAAGGGTAGGAGTTTTAGTGTGGATTTAAAGAAGATTTTTTTTTCACCCAGAGATATTGGGTATCGGTAACCCGCTGCTTGAAAGTATCATAGAGGCAGGAACCATCATAACATTTAAGTATTACAACTTCATCAGATGGGTCAATGGGCTGAGGAGTGGCAGATGGAGTTTAATTTAGATAAATGTGAGATGCTGCATTTTGTAAAGACAAATCAGGACAAAACTTGTACACTTAATGGTAAGGTCCTGGGGAGTGTTGTTGAACAAAGAGACCTTGGAGTGCAGGTTCATAGTTCCTTGAAAGTAGAGTCCCAGGTAAATAGGATGGTGAAGAAGGCGTTTCCTATGCTTTCCTTTATTGATCAATGCATTGAGTATAGGAGTTGGGAGTTATGTTGCAGGCTGTACAGACATTGGTTAGGCCATGTTTGGAATACTGCATGCAATTCTAGTCTCCCTTCTAGAGGGAGGATGTTGTGAAGCATGAAGGGGTGTAGAAAAGATTTACAAGGATGTTGCCAGGTTTGGAGGATTTGAGCTACAGGGAGAGGCTGACAGGCTGGGGCTATTTACACTGGAGCTTTGGAGGCTGGGGGGTGACCTTATGAAGGTTTATAAAATCATGAGGGACAAGGATAGGGCAAATAGACAAGGTCTTTTCCTTGGGGTGGGGGAGTCCAAAACTAGAGGGCATAGGTTTAAAGTGAGAGGTGAAAAGTTTAGAAGGGACCTAAGGGGCAACTTTTTCACGCAGTGGGGTGGTGCATGTATTGAATGAGCTGCCAGAGGAAGTAGTGGAGACTGGTACAATTACAACATTTAAAAGGCATCTGAATGGATATATGAATAGGAAGGGTTTAGAGGGATATGGGCCAAATGCTGGCAAATGGGACTAGACTAATTCAGGATATCTGGTTGGCATAGACAAGTTGGACTGAAGGTTCTGTTCCCATGCTGTACATCTCTGTGACCCTATTTAGATCAACACTTGAAGTGCCATAGCATACAAAGCTACAAGCAATCGCTGGTAAATGGGACTACAGTAGATGGGTGCTTAATAACAGATGCAGACATGATGGGCTGACGGCAGAAACAGCTTATTTAGATAAGAAGCAAAGCTCACACTCTCCTCTGCCTCAGAAACATACCTTAAATATATTTAGGTACAATCCTATTGCACAAGAGTGAATTGTTCTAGTTTCTGTGATTTTTCTCATTCTAGTCTCCTTGAGTGAAAAGGTTAGTCTGGTTCCTACAAGTGCAGAATTTTCTGACTGTTTACAATTTCAGTTAGTACAGGACACTCACAGTCAGTAAAGGGGAGAATTTGAGTCTGGGATTGCATTCAAATCTCAAATTTCACAATGGAAGATCAAATGCCAACTAGTCAGACCATTTTGTTCACTAGTAATAAAGAATGATTAATTTGTCGAACTTTCTGTATTTTTAAGTTTCCAGTCAACAGTAATGAGAATCCGGTGCAGAAAATAATGGACACTCTGCTTAGCAAATAATGGACAATAATGGACAATCCGTGTCACATGAAAGATGCATTTGCACTATTTGAAGAAGGACAGGACTGTTCTGGTCAACTGACCAAAATTCATTCATTAAGCAACACCACAACAAAATTCCCATGCTGTATGACTCTATGACTGTAAAACAAATGATCTGGTCATTTATCTCTCAGTTCTTGCTGTGCACAGATTCTCTGTTGTTTTTCTTAACAAAAGCTGGATGACTACACTTTTAGAAGTACTTTATTACCCAAGGCAGGATTTGGGATGTCATGAGGTTGTGAACAGTGCTATGCATATTTTTTGCACTGAGACAAACATGGTATTGTTATTCCCATTAAAGAGGAAACTAATTAATGCAATAATTCAGCCTACCCTAAATTGCTATCTTTAAAACAGTTCAAAGTAGAATCATGAATTACTGTTCAAAGTCTCTAAAAATATCTTTGTGAAAAGATAGGAATGGCCCCATAGTCCATAATTCTATTTAGTAATTTCTGCATTGACATTGAATGACTTCAATACAATGACTTACAAAATATGTTACATTTCAGTCTGATACACCATTCAAACGGTCTTTCACACCAATGGACTATACCAGCCATACTCGGACACGGAGAGCTTCCTTTACAGGTAAATAAGCAGCACTCTGCTTAGCATATTCTACCAGAAACTGGGGAGTATTTCTATGACCCTGAGAGCATTCTCATTGCAAACCTTTGGAATATAATATCTTCTGGTTGCTAACTGATAACCCAAGCTAGAAAATGCACCTGTGAACTTTGGATTTGACAAAATAAATCTCCATTATAATGGTCACCACTGTTTAATATCGTTCAATATTCAGTTTTGAGGCTTGGAAATGAAGAGTGAGCATTTGGTCATGGTCTTTTGGTACTCATTGAACAGAAGTCATTGAGAAGGGGAGGAAATATGCCTTTGTACTAATAATGCGCAGATACCAAACATTTTGGTGATTTCAAAACAGGCTCCTAGTAGAGTGAATAGAATCTTTTTTTTTAAAAAAAGATTTTCTGAGCATCCTAAATAAATGGACCAGTCACTGATGTGGAACTGAAAGTATCCCCAGAGATGGCTTAACAATCTTCAGCTGCTTCATCAATGACCTTTCCTCCATCATTAGGTCAGAAGTGGAGATGTTCATCGAGGATTGCACAATGTTCAGGACCATTCATGACTCCTCAGATACTGAAGAAGTCCATGTTCAAATGCAACAAGATCTGGACAATATCCAGGCTTGGGCTGATAAATGGAAAATAACATTCACACCTCACAAATGCCAGGAATGGACCATCACCAATAACAGAGAATCTAACCACCGCTCCTTGACATTCAATGTTGTTACCATCACTGAATCTGCCACTATTAACAGCCTGGGAGGTTACCATCGATCAGAAGCACCACTGTACTCCCCACATAAGCACAGTAGCTACAAGAGCAGGTCAGAAGCTAGGAATACTGCAGCAAGTAACTCACCTCCTGACTTCCTAAAGTCCGTCCACCATCTAAAAGGCACAAGTCAGGAATGTGATGGAATACTCCCCGCTTGCCTGGATGAATGCAGCTCCAACAATACCCTAGAAGCCTAGACAAAAGAACTGTTTGATTAGCACTGTGTGCACAAAGCAGTGTATACAGGTACAAGATGCACTGAAGAAATTCAGCATACTTCCTGAAACAGCATCTTCCATATCCTGACCACTACCATCTAGCACACATAAGCAGCAGATATTTGGGAACACCACCACCTGCAAGTTCCCCTCCAAGCCACTCACCATCATGACTTAGAAATATAATCACTGTACCTTTAGCATTGCTGGATAAAGATTCTGGAACTGCCATCCTAACAGCACTTTCCTTATCCCCACTCCCCCAACCCATGTGAACTGCAGCGGTTCAAGAAGGCAGGTCACCACTGCCTTCTCATAGGTGGTTGGGGATGGGCCATAAATGCTTGCCTTGCCAGCAACAACCACATCCTGTGAAAAAAAATGTAGGAAAATAGATTAATGAACAGAAAATTGCAGCTAATAGATGCTGAGATATTTTTTCTGGGCCAGGAGCACCGTTTTGTAAGAATTTGAAAAGTACCATAACTTGATTTTGTTTGTGGAATTAGATAACTTAGGTACATTGTAAAATGGATTAACTTTCCAGGTTGAGAGTTATATAACTATTTTACTTTAAAAAAAACTTAACATAAAAGGAAAGGATTTTATTGAATCTGGTGAATAAAAGATTAATTGTCCAATTATTTCAGAAAATAAAATGGAAGATGAATAACATGTAACTTCTGAAGTTTCCATTTGATTGGAACCTGTAAAGATTAATGGAAGGAGACGATGCTAATAGAATCCCACTGTAATACTGTTGCTTCCACATCTCTCGAGCACCTGAAGTAACATACAACAAACATAAATAGTGAATATTTCATTTATCTAGCTGCAGAGCATACAAACCTTAAAAAGCTATATCTCAAAGATTGGTCCTGCTGTATTGAGATCCTCTTAGCGTGCTCACAATACCTGGTTATTTTGAGACAGGGGATGATATACAAACATCCATAATATGTAATTGTGACAGATTTAGGTGAGTTCAGCTGGCAGTTGCTGTCATCTCACTGCTACCAGTCCTCCCCCAACTTCCACTGGGAGTCCCAGCCAATTGTCCTCTGATGGATCGTGGACTCATGTGAATGACCTTCCAGTTCATCAGTCCACAAGTTTAATATGGAGAACACGTACATAGATGGAACTATAATAACATGTATTTTGAAGATATGAATAATGTACTTACAATTTAAAAGGAATCAATTTGTGGGTGACATGCCAGTTGTGAGGTCATTGATTGTGACATTTTTAAATTAATTCCTTCAATATTGATGCAGTTTATGCCTCACATCAGTCTATTTTCTTCCTATTAAGAGTCATAAAATTAAGACAGTATCATTTATATGAAAGGATTAATTAGAATAGGAGAAATAGAAAAATTTTTTTTGGACAGTGCTATTCTGTGACACAGTCTTCCTCTGGTCTCTGTGTACATCAAATTGACTGAATTGTTACCCGGTATAGAAAAATATGAATGTAAAGAGAAACCTGAAAGACTGGAGTTGTTTTCATGAGAACAGATTATGGGTAATTTCCGGAGGTGTTTGAAATTACAAAATGAAGGGGCAATCAATAGAAAGATATTACTTGCAGTTAGTGAAGGATTTAGGATCAGGGTGAGCTGGTGGTGGAGGGTAATGTCACTGGACTCATCAAACAGACCCCCAGGGTACAGTAATGTTGAGTGGAATCGAATGGGTTCAAATCCCATTGTGACAGATCGTGAAATTTAAATTCAATAATATCTGAAATTAAAATCGTCTTGATTAGACAGGCTTTAACTGACAATGTCCTTTAGGGAAAGAAATCAGTCACCCCTTCCTGGTCTGGCCTTCATGTGTCTCCAGACTCTCAGAAACATGGTTGCACTTGACTATCTTCTGAAATGACCTAACAAGCCATTCATTTGCTACAAAGCCTGAAGAAGATGATGACGGAACACGTGACATTGACTTGGGTACAAAAAGCAAACAGTCCTGCCAACTGTACAAATATCTAGGGGTTTCTGCCAAATTGTGAGAGCTGTCCCACAAAATAATCAAGCAACAACAACAGTTGTACTCACAGAACCACATTTTACAACAATGTCCCTGACACCACCACCACCACCATCCCTGAGTATGTCTGTCCCATCGGAGTTGGTAGCACCGTGAAACTGTTGCCCTGGGAATCCTCAACATTGATGCCCGACCCAATGAAGTAGTCAAACATAGGCAAGGAAACCTCTTGCTGATTGCCATATACCAACCAATCAGTGCTCTTCCATGTTGAACAGCACTTGTAGGAAACACTGAAGGAGATAAGAGCACAAAATATACTCAGTGTATATCTTATGCCCAGTCTGAAATGTCCATCACTGTGAGGGTCTTGGTTAGTCCCATTGCTGACTGAGTTGGCTGAGTCTGAACATATGTAGCTGATAGCTTGGATTTGCTGCAAGTTAGGAAGGAATCAACAAGTTGGAAAAATGTACTTGCCCTCATCCTCACCAATCTTCCTGTCACAAATTACAGTATTGATAGAAGTGATCACTGTAAAGTCCTTATGGAGACAAAGACTGATCTTCACATTGAAGGTAAGATCCATTGTGTGGTGTGCCACTACAACCCTGCTAAATGGGACAAACGTGGAGCAAATGTAGCATAACAATACAAAACTGGGCATTCACGTGGAGCTACGGGCCATCAACAGCAGCAACATTTCACTACACAACAATCTGCAACCTTGCGGCCCAGCATTTCTCCTATTCTACCATTATCATCAAGTTAGGGGATTAATTGTGATCAATGAAGAGTTTAGGAGGGCATGCCAGGAGCAGCACCAGACATACTTAAAAATGAGGTGAAGCAATAATACAGTAAGTGGCATGCGGTGGACAGAGCTATATTCTTGCACTTGCTGCCCTTGATGTGTCCTCCCTGTGTTGATGGGAAAGGACATACCCAGCGACATTCTTTGGGTATGTCTGGGATATTGTTTGCAATCATGGTGTGGTTCTGTGAGAATGAATATGCCAGCCTGCTGCTCGACTAGTCCGTGACATAGCTCTGCCAATTTTTGAAACAAGCCCCCAGATATTGGTAAGGAGAACTTTGCAGTGTTGACAGCACTGGGTGCACTGTTGTCTTTGCCAGTGCCTTGGTTGATACCAGAGACTTGTCTTGTTCTTTCCTTTTATTAGACTTTGGAGTGGTAAGGTATAACTGAGTGCCTAGTTATAAGTCAACCACATTGCTGTGGAACTGGAGTCACATGTAGACAGATTTTCCTTTCCAAAACAACATTAGTGAACCAGATGGTTTTTTTTTCATGTTAAATGAAAATCATCAGTGATTTCATGGTCACTGTTAGACAAGCTTTTAATTACAATTTTGTGAATTGAATTCAAATTTCGTCATTCAAATCCATATCCTCCAGAGCATTAGACTGAGTCTCTGGATTATTTGTCCAGTGACAATACCACTATTCCATCTCCTCCCCTTTGATAATCAAATATTAAGTGCGAACAAAACTGGAACTGACAAATTTGGGATTCAAGGGATGTGGAATTAGAGCAAGAGAGGTCACACCAGCCATGATTTTATTGAATGGTGGAGCAGGCATGAAGGATTACGTGACCTGGTCCTTCTCTTATTTCTTATGATGTTGAACAACAACGAATATGAATGGATTAATATAGATTTTACCAAAGGAAGCTAATGCCATTTAATGTTACTGATACTTTAGAATTTTCTTTACAGATCATGCTGGAATTGGTGTGACTGGGATCAGCCTAGGAATTTCTGCCTCCAGCTCTAATTATCCCACAGATTTTGCACATCACCATCATCAGCTGTTAAACCAGCCACCCATTGAAGGCGATGAGGACGAGTATCGAACAACATGGGGTACAGACATTTTTTTATTTTTATGGTTCCTGTAAAGAGAGGAAAGCTGCAAACTGGTACATTTGGGCTATTTGGTAGCAATACACTGGGATACTGGGTTATTTAATGAAAAAGCTAGAGTGATCAGGAGAAACTATGGTAATCCTTCAGGGTCTGGCTGGGCCTAACCCAACTATATGTAGGCCCGCAGCTGTGTAACATGCCTGGTAAGTAAACCCATGTGGGCAGCTTTTGAGTTGGGTCAGGGGGTTGGGCCTCCCTCGAGCAAAGATATGAAATCACCTGATCGAAGAACTGGATGTGGTGTAGGAGGGAGCCAGCTGAAAGCCACTCACCTTTCCTTGCTTCTGACCTTGTGACTTCCAAAACCAGAAACACACTACCTCCACCCAACAAAAGACTTGCTCTGTGCCTTGATCTCCTGTCATTCTAGGTGTCCTGAAAGCAGCCACAGTCTCATCTATGATGCTGAAATGTGCAAGAATCTTTGGGTACTGAATAGTTGACAGATCTGAAAGAAATGGCAGATCTGTGACTCAGTGGTTAGCTCTGCTGCCTTAAAGCACCAGGGATCTGGGTTCGATTTCAGGTGACTGTCTGTGTGGAGTCGGCACATTCTCCCTGCGTGTGTATGGGTTTCCTATGCGTGCTCCGGTTTCCTCCCACAGTCCAAAAATGTGCAGGTTAGATGGATTGGCCATGCTAAAATGCCTGTAGTGTTCAGGGATGTGCAGGCTAGGTGGATAGGCCAGAGGAAATGCAAGGTTACAGGGATAGGGTAGGAGTGTGGGTCTGGCTGGATGCTCTTCAGAGGGTTGGTGTGAACTTGATAGGCTGAATGGCCCACTTCCACACCGTAGGGATTCTATGATTCTAAAATCAAAAATGCGACTTCTTTGGTTCTGAAAAAATTAACTCTGCCTTCTCTCCACAGATGAGTTTCTCCAGCTATTTCTGTTTTTGTTTGTGGCCTAATCTATGTTTGGTTGGCAAAGGAGTCAGTACAGCTTGCTTGGAAGATGCAGCACAGGTCCCCAGGTGACTGACGAGACTCCTCTCACTGCCTCAATTGTATTGCTCTTTATCACTGTCGTCAATATTTCAATACAAAAAAAAGGCTTTTATTTTTAAGTAAGCTGTTTTTTATTTGGTTGTCTGTCTCTGTCCATTCTAGGCCCACAAGCACATTTCCAATCCAAACCTTTTAATCGTCTTCCTACAAATTCCAGAAGGCGACCCCAAGTGGTTTCATAGGTAAAGTCAGTTGAATCACTGCAGTGTGGAAGGCTGGAGAATTAATGAAGATGGTTTGCTTACATCAGGTCACAAACAGGACTAGCTTCATTAGAAGAAACCATGAAGTGATGAAAGACTCACCATGAAGCATCATTCACTTAATTCTGTTGCGGTGATCGATGGTGTACAGTGTTGTCAGCTGTCTTCCTATTAATTAGTACTGATTAAACTATGCAAAAATGTACCAATTTATAGGTACATACAAGACTATTTGTCAAGGCAGCTTGCAGTGAAGCAACATTTCCTGGTATTGTAACTATCGACCTGACACTTTTATTCTGTTGCCCTTAATTGTTCATTACTCCAACATGCTAGTTATACCTCAGTAACCTACTGACAGGCAGCTACTGCAAGTACATTTTTTGCTAATTAAGAAACTGGTTTAATAACTCCAATCTGTACTGTGAGAGTGCTCTTGTTGAATTTAATGTGAACAAGGTTTCAGTGAAATAATCAGTTTGCATATAGGCCATAGAAATGCAATTTATTTCTTTGTATTTGTGCGCTTCTTTGTAGATTGTCAGTATTTGGCTGAAATGAACATCTGTGGCTAGGGGTGGCCTGGCGGCTCAGTGGTTAACACTGCTGCCTTATGACACCAGGGACCCAGGTTCAATTCCAGCCTCGGACAACTGTCTGTATGGAGTTTGCACGTTCTTGCTATGTCTGTGTGGGTTTCTGCTGGATGCTCCGGTTTCTTCCCGCAGTCCAAAGATTTGCAAGTTAAGTGGATTGGCCGTACTAAATCACACATAGTGCTCAGTATGTGCAGACTGGTTGAATTAGCCATGGGAAACGCAGGGATAGGGCTGTGTGGATGCTCTTTGGAGGGTCAGTGTGGACTCGATGGGCTGAATAGCCTGCTTCCACATCGGGGATTCTATGATATGCTTGTCATCTCTTTCCACTTTCATAAGGGTGTAACAAACTTGTTTTATTTTCCTATTTATGTTATTTATAATGCGAAATCGCATTTAGCAATCATGTTGAACATACCAGTTCATATATGGTATGCTGTATTCAAGTAATCTATGCAGTGACATGATTAGAGCTCAGAAGCACTAGATGCCGGAAATGTTCTCTCTCTAATGTATTCAAGTGTTACGACATTATGCATCTAATTCTCCAAACCTAATTCAGTATGTCAAATCTTGCTGGTGTGGGCATCTTGTGATATGTGTAGTTGAACTTTTTTGCATTTAATTTTCACCATAACTTTCTGGACATGTGAGCTGATAACTTCCTGGTGAAGGTAACGAGGCATCAAATCTGAGTGAATGACGAGGCTGAAGGTATAATCCCTTTACCAATGAGATTCAGGTTGAGAACTGAACAAGAGAGAATTAATCATTGTCATATTCAGGTATAGAAAGAAAAAACAAAATACCGAAAGGATAAGTACTTTTTTTTTACCTTTCATCTAATATTGCTTGCAGTAACGAGGCTGAACAATATATATTGGCTCTTTTTGGAGTTGGACAGATTCATTGACATTGCATTAACAATACAGTAATCATATAAGTCAAAACGTACTTGTACTATTGAGTATGAATCCTTGTTCTGTGTTAAGTTTAATGGTTAGTTTATTTACAAAGCCAGTAAATTCTTAACTATAATCCAGAGAAGCTAAGGACAAGATACCATTTATGCAAACCAATGGTGGGATAGCACATATCAAAACAAAAATCAGGAAAATCATAATTCTTCGCATGTCTCTTTGTTCCCTGAATTTGCTGGCTGATTTGTGCATTAATAACAGCATGCATTACAAACACATTGTTCTTTTACCAGAAAGATTTGGTCCATTATTTTGTAAAGTAAATGTTTTTACATACGTAAAGGTATTTTTGATTGTATTTTAATGCATGAATTTGCCAAATCTTTTATGTTGCTCAGAAGTGTGTGTATTAAATACATTATAGTATAGAATATACTGTTTGTGAAATAGGTGGAATAATACTCAATTAATTTGTATGACATTTTTCTGCATGCCATTTTAACTGAGGCATTAACTTCGAAATAAATGGATTCATGCCTGTCCTAGAAGAGGAACCTCATACACAGAAATTCAGTGTTCACCTATTTTCACAGTAGATTCTAAATTAAAACTGCTTGAATCTTAAGGAGTTTCATTAAAAGTTTTATTTATAAATTCAAATACTCTTGGTATTTCTGGTATTTTCTCTTTAATTTTATTTTGTAAATTAACAACTTATCACGATGCAACAAAAATTACCTTTTTCCTTATTTTCTTCTAATTTGAAAAGTAGGTATATTTACAAAATAATATTATTTGACTATTTATCAATGCAAAAGTATTTGACATTACTTTGGATAAAATTTGAGAGTTACGTTTCTCTTTAAAAAATAAAAGCTTAGCAAATAAACTAAGCTGCATTCCAGTACAGTGTGGAGGTATTGCTGTGTTTGAAACGTCCCTCAGATGAAACATTAAACTTTCTCTACTTCAATGAATGCTAGATGTTAAACATCTCAAGATACCATTCAGTGAAAATCAGGGTCTTGTACTAATATCCTGGCCTCTCTCCAAATTATTTTGCTTCAGCAATCCAGCCAATGGCTGTTTATAAAGGGTTTTTTAAAAATTTGATACTTTTGCCGTTGTTTTCTACAGTTCATTTGCAAGATCGCTTTCAATTTGGCAGACCTATTCAGAACATGTGTAGTTTCAAAAAAAATTCAAGCATGGCATCTCAAAATAAGAACTAAGAACTAGGAGCAGGAGTAGGCCGTCTGGCCCTTCGAGCCTGCTCCGCCATTCAATAAGATCATGGCTGATCTTTTCGTGGACTCAGATCCACTTACCCACATTCTCACCGTATCCCTTAATTCCTTTATTGTTCAAAAAAGATATACCTTTTTTATAAAAAATGTTTACTGAAGTAGCGTCAACTACTTCACTGGGCAAGGAATTCCATAGACTAACAACCCTTTGGGTGAAGAAATTCCTTCTCAATTCAGTCCTAAATCTGCTTCCTGTAATCTTGAGGCTATGCCCTCTTGTCCTAGCTTCACCTGCCAGTGGAAACATCCTCTCTACTTCTATCTTATCTATTCCCTTCATAATTTTATATGTTTCTATAAGATCCCCCCTCAATCTTCTGAATTCCAATGAATATAATCCCAATCTACTCAGTCTCTCCTCATAAGCCAACCCCCTCAACTCCGGAATCAACCTAGTGAACCTCCTTTGCACCCCCTCCAGTGCCAGTACATCCTTTCTCAAGTAAGGAGACCAAAACTGCACACAGTACTCCAGGTGTGGCCTCACCAGCACCTTGTACAGCTGCAACATAACCTCTCTGCTTTTAATTTCAATCCCTTTAGCAATGAAGGACAAAATTCCATTTGCCTTCCTAATTACTTGTTGTACCTGCAGACCTACCTTCTGTGATTCATGCACAAGGACACCCAGGTCCCTCTGCATAGCAGCATGCTGCAACTTTTTACCATTTAAGTAATAATCCTTTTTACTATTACTCCTACCAAAATGTATGACTTCACATTTATTTACATTGTATTTCATCTGCCAGACCTTTGCCCACTCACTCAATGTATCTATGTTCCTCTGCAAAGTTTCACAGTCCTCTGCACACTTTGCTTTGCCACTCATCTTAGTATCATCTGCAAACTTTGACACCCTACACGTGGTCCCCAACTCCAAATCATCTATATAAATTGTAAATAATTGCAGTCCCAACACCGATCCCTGAGGCACACCACTAGTCACTGACTGCCAGCTAGAATAGCACTCATTTATCCCCACTTTTTTTGCTTCCTGTTAGTCAACCAATCCTCTATCCATGCTAATACTTTACCCTTAATGCCATGCATCCTTATCTTATGCAGTAGCCTCTTGTACGGCACCTTGTCGAAGGCCTTTTGGAAATCTAGGTACACCACATCCACTGGGTCCCCATTGTCCACCTCGCTCGTAATGTCTTCATAGAATTCCAAAAGATTTGTCAAGCATGACCTGCCCTTCATGAACCCATGCTGCATCTGCCCAACGGGACAATTTCTATCAAGATGCCTTGCTATTTCTTCCTTGATAATAGACTCAAGCAGCTTCCCCACTACAGAGGTTAAGCTAACCGGTCTATAATTCGCCATCTTTTGTCTACTTCCCTTTTTAAACAGTGGCGTCACATTTGCTGTTTTCCAATCTGCTGGGACTGCCCCAGAGTCCAGCAAATTTTGGAAAATTACCGCCAGTGCACCTGCTATTTCTCCCGCCATCTCTTTTAGTACTCTGGGATGCATTCCATCAGGGCCAGGAGACTTATCAATCCTTAGCTCCATTAGCTTGCCCAACACTACCTCTTCCGTAATAATGATTGTTTCCAGGTCCTCACCTACCTTCGTCTCTTTGTCAATTACTGGCATGTTATTAGTGTCCTCCATTGTGAAGACCGATACAAAATACCTGTTCAATGCCTCGGCCATTTCATCATATCCCACAACTAAATTCCCCTTCTCATGCTCTAAAGGGCCAATGTTTACTTTAGCCACTCTTTTTCGTTTTATATATTTGTAGAAACTTTTGCTATCTGTCTTTATATTCTGTGCTAGCTTTTTCTCATGTTCTATCTTACTTTTCTTTATAGCTCTTTTTGTGGCTTTCTGTTGACCTTTAAAGTTTTCCCAATCTTCTGGTTTCATGCTGTTTTTGGCCACTTTGTATGCCTTCTCTTTCAATTTGATAGCCTCCCTTATTTCTTTAGACACCCATGGCAGATTACCCCTTTTCTTACAGTCCTTCCTTTTCATTGGAATATACTTTTGCTGAGCACTTTGAAAGATTGCTTTGAAAGTCCTCCACTGCTCGTCAACTGTCCCACCATAAAATCTTTGTATCCAGTCTACTTTAGCCAAGTCCTCCCTCATTCTATTGTAGTTCCCCTTGTTCAAGCACAGGACTCTGGTATTGGATTTTATCTTCACACTCTCCATCTGTATTCTAAATTCAACCATACTGTGATCACTCCTTCCAAGAGGATCCCTAACTATGAGGTCATTAATTATTCCTGTCTCATTACACGGGACCAGATCTAGGATAGCTTGCTCCCTCGTCGGTTCCATTACATACTGTTCAAGAAAACTATCACAGATACACTCAACGAACTCCTCCTCAAGGCTACCCTGACCGAGCTGGTTCGACCAATCTACATGTAGGTTAAAATCCCCCATTAAAATCGCCGTACCATTTTTACAGGCATTAGTTATTTCTTTGTTTCTTGCCCGCCCCAATGTGATGTTATTATTTGCTGGCCTATAGACTACGCCTATCAGTGACTTTTTCCTCTTAGAATTTCTAATTTCCACCCAAATGGATTCAACCTCATTCTCCATAGAACCTATATCATCTCTCAGCACCGCCCTGATGGCGTCCTTGAATATCAAAGCTACACCACCTCCCTTACCTTCCTGTCTGTCCTTCCGAATAGTCTGGTACCCTTGGATATTTAACTCCCAGTCGTGACCATCCTGTAACCATGTCTCCGTAATGGCTACCAAATCATATTCATTCGCGATGATTTGTGCCGCTAACTCATCACCCTTGTTACGAATGCTACGAGCATTCAGGTAAAGTGCCTTTATGCTAGCTTTCTTACCCTCATGATTTCCAACATCTCTA